GCAGCACTGGGTCCCCCTCCACAGGGCACTGGCGAGTAGGTCTGTGTACTCCAGGGCCTGAGTGTGGAGGAGAAAAACTAGAGGTGACTGGGACCTGGTGGGGGGTTTGTGTAGGTGTGTGCCCAAGGGGCCTGTTTTCTTTATTCATTTATTTTAAAGCCTTAGTGAGAGGTAAAGAGATGAAGATGGGTTGGGAGGGAGAGAGGTACCCTCCATTCCTGGTACACTCCACATGTGGCCAGAGCAGCCAGCCGTGGACCACGCTGAGGCAGGAGTGGGAACTCCTTACCAGCCTCCTGAATGGGTGACAGGGACTCAAGTACTGGAGCCATCATTGGCTGCCTCCCAGGCTTGTTAGCAGGAAGCTGTGTGGATAGAAAGTGAAGTAGCTGCCACAGGAACCAGGCTCTGGTGTGGGATGTGGCTGAGCAGCACCGCGCCCACCCCTGTCTAGTGAGTGAAATGAGGAAAAAGCCCTGCCAACCTCACCTGCCCACCTGCCCCAGGTTGGCCCTGCCCCACGCACCTCGGGTCGGCCTACCTGCCCCAGGTTGGCCCTGCCCCATGCACCTCGGGTCGGTCCACCTGCCCCAGGTTGGCCCTGCCCCACGCACTTCGGGTTGGCCCACCTGCCCCAGGTTGGCCCTACCCCAGCTGCAACAGGTGGGCCCTGCTCCGGTTACCCTGCCCTGCCTGCCCTAAGTGGGCCCTGCTGCAACCCACCTCAGGTCGGCCCTGCCCCACCTGCCCAGGTTGGCCCTGCTGGGTCTACAGGTCCCAGGTAGAGATAAAGCGAAGGAAGCAAGGTTTGCAATAAAGTCATCATTTCACTGTTGTGATCTGAAAACAGATGCAGTGGTTGCATGTACTAAGTAAGAAGGGGAGTCAGGTTCGACGCGGTAGCCTAGTGGCTAATGTCCTCACCTTGAATGTGCCGGGATTGCATACAGATGCTAGTTCTAGTCCTTGCCAGCCCCACTTCCCATCCAGCTCCCTGCTTGCGGCCTGGCAGAGCAGTCGCAGATGGTCCAAAGCATATGGGAGACCTGGAAGAGAATCTGGGCCCCTGGCTTTGGATCAGCACAGCTCCAGCCGATGTGGCCACTTGGGGAGTAAATCAGCAGATGGAAGATCTTCCTCTCTGTTTCTCCTCCTCTCTGTGTATCTAAAACAAAGGGAGCGAGTGTGGCCCTAGGTCACACTGTTTCTGCACTCCCGCATTGCTCGTTTGAAACCCCCCAGTCCAGAGTCACACTCAGAACCTGGGTGTGAGCACCCCGGCCCCGTGTCTCCCAAATGTGGACTTCCGAAACAAAGCTTCCTGGCCTGTGTTTCGTGTCCTTCCTTAGCTCTGAGTTTTGTTTGTTTGTTTTGTTTTTGTTTTTGCTGGGAGTTGGGGTAGGGGTTTGTTTTGTTTTAAGATATGCTTTGGAGCAAAAAAGTTTGGTTTATTCCATTTATGTTGCTACTTATTTATATGTCTTGCTCAGTATTTTCACAAACCAGGGTTTTTGAGGAAGTTACTTGATTACCGAGCAGAGAAGAGGGCTTGGCAGAGGTGGCTTGGGGCAGCCCCCGAGGTTGCTGCTCACACAGTGTGCTCACAGGGACACGGTTGTTGGGTATGCTGTGGCAACAGCTGCGACCCCACCTCATCTTTGCTCTGGATCCCAAGTGCACAGGGAGCTGGGGAAGAGCCCATGTCTACCTGCTGAGAGCCCCTGGACGGAAGTCCTCAGGTCCATGCCAGTCACGCACACCCTGGCGCCTGCAGCCTCCTCCCCGGAGGAGCCACAGGAATGATCGGGAGTGCCCAGTGCACCTCGTGGGTCACCAGCTGCCTCGTTGTGACCTGGGCTGTCCCTGGAATTGTGCCAGTTCTCACTGGGCTAGGAGACCTTGACAGGTAACAGGGACATCCCCTTCCAGCTGTCTGCACATCAGAGTCCTTCTTTCTCGAGGCCACAGGGCAGGTCTTGGGGCCTGTCCCTGTGCCCTTGCATCTGCACCCCGGCCACCCTGACTGTCACTGGCTGGAGATGGCCTTGCCGTGAGGAGGGTACCACATGTGCAGCCATGACTGTTTCATGTGATGTAGTCACTATACAACAGTGTGCATACTACACGCCTGTCAACATTGTGTGCAGTATGAGCCGTGTGTGTGTGTGTCACGGTTACAGTGTTTAGATTGTATGTGCATTCACACTGTGTCTTTACAGCCCATGTTTTTGTGTTCAGTTGTTATGTGTCTCTGTGCAGACCCAGCCATGTGTGCATACATCTGTGCCTCTTCAGAGGTTTCTCTCCTCATTGTCCCCCTTGACAAGGTCCTGGCTAGGCTGGCTTCCTTATCAAGCCTCCCTGAGGAGGTGGTGGCCCAAGTGGTCGCCACCTCGGCCCGTCCTCGGCCTGTGACCCCTGATTTCCACTCATATGTGTAGTATTTGTGCCTGTGTTGTGTGTTCTTTGATGGCATTTTCTTTGTTATAGAATGAGGCTGTCAGTGACCATGTCAGGAAGGCTTGGTCCTAGGCTTCTGTCCTAGGCTTTCGCGAAGGGCCCCTCACCTTGGGTAGCTTGCAGCTGCAGACAGCCCTGTCCGGCCCCCGACCCTGTGGGCAAGGGGCTGTGTGCTGGGGCTGTGACCTCCCCGTGAATGCTGGTGTGCATGATGAAGCCACTGCCCCGGGCTCTCAGCTGTCCTGTGGCTCGTTTTGTTTTTGGCTGCCCAGTGCGTGCTGTGATTTCCCCACCCGGATGGAGGGGGTGCACACCAGTGGTGCTCAGCCAGTACTCAGGTGCAGGTCGGTGTCCAGGAAGACCTGTGGGGCCAGGAGGATGCAGCTGCTCAGCCAGGCTGGGGTCAGCACAGCCGGGCATGGAGTCACTGTGGGCTGGCCCTGAAAGTGCCAGAGTGTCCTTCCCATGGCTGTCCCCTCTTCTGCGGGGCCGGTTGCTGGGTGTCGGTGGAGGTTCCAGTGGTCGATGCTTCTGTTCCCTCGCACACGTGACTGGGGCCACTGTGGGTCTCATGGTGCTCGTCCTGGGGTAGCCCCTTCTGGACTCGGTCACTGGACACCTAGAGCCCCTGTCCCAGTGCCTGCCCTTGTTTCGCTCCCGTTTTCCTTACTTCCCTTACTTCCTTAAACCTCGTGTGTGTGTGTGTGTGTGTGTGTGTGTGTGTGTGTGTGTGTGTGTGCACGTGCGCGCTATATGCTTCCTTGTTATTTGTGAAAAAGAATGTCGGCATGTGAACAAAGGTAGAACTTCATGTGTCATAGTACATTAAAATCCCGTGATGCTATCTGACTTCCTGTTTATTCAGAACTGCTTGGCAAATACTACATGGAGTTGAGTCACATTGAAAAACTCAGTTACAGGAAGACCAGATTTGGGGGTAGGAGGACTTAATTCAGAATACTTCCTGTGATTAAAGTTCCTCAAGCAATGGTTCGACCAGACTTACCATAGCCAGGGATGATTTTGTAAGACATATTTGAAGGGCAGAGTGATGGCGGTGGGAGGCTTGTCCATCTGTTAGCTCACTCCTCAGATGCCCACAGCAGCAGTGGGTGGGCCAGGCTAGGGCCTGGAGCCTGGAACTCTGGGTCTCCATGTGTGTGACAGGGACCCCAGTGCGTGGGCTGTCACCTGTTGCCTTCCCAGGATGATGGATTGGAAATGGAGCAGTTGGGACTCAGTCTGGCACCCCTATGTGGAGTGCTAGCGTGGCAAGCGGCAGCAGCACCTGCCCCCAGCCAAATGTGTTGTTTGAGGACCAGAAAGCTCCCACCCCAGTTGCAAGGACTGGGCCTAGGCTGCCCCAGGAGCTGGGCACTCGATCTGGTTTTGCACATGGCCAGTAGGCACCCCAGGACTGTAGCCAGGAGTGCTGCTTGCAGGGTTTGCATCAACTGCAATCGGACCCTGGCCCTCAGCTGTTGGACAAGGCTGTCTTAGCCGCGAGGCCGAATCCACGCCTTGGGGATTGCGATTCGATTGTCAGCAAAGCTGGATGTTCTCGGTTTGCTTTGTTTGCAGAAAGGGCCATATCCAGCTGGTCCAGGGAGATGGGATAGGGCAGCTGAGCCAGGGAAAGTGGACAGTGTGCGTCCTGTCTGCACTTGAGCCATGCCGGGGCTGGACCCACGCACTCCAGGAGCAGAGACTGGATGGCAGATGCTCCTTGTCTCTGAGTGGAGGTGGGTGTCCATGGGTCCAAGTGCCCAGGGCCTGGGTACTGTGGGGCCGAAGGTTCATGCGGCTGGGTGGCCACACTGTCAGTTGCCTGTGCAGTCAGGTGCCCATGTGACCAGGTGCCATGAGCATCCCCTCCTGCTTCGGAACTCGCTGTGTCCTCAGCATCCTTCCCTCTCAGATGGACACAGTCCTGTGTCAGGGCCTCAGCCTGGTCTCATCACCTCCAGAGACCAAGCACCATCACATCGGGGCCGGGCATACACTCCTGTCCACGGCTCTTTTGTCGTGGTTGATGTGGGACCTCCGCGGTGAGCCGCACCATGCCAGGAGTCTGAGCTGCCAGGAGCACTAGACACTCAGATCCTTGGGAAACGTGCAAGGAGCCCGTGTGTGTGTGGTGGGGAGCCAGGCCTTGCAGCACCTTCATGACTCTGTCCCCGTGGTGGCCAGTGGCCATGGTGTTCTCTTGGCAACAGTGCTGAGGTGGCCAGCTGGTCAGCAGCTGGATTGATCCCAGGAGGCTACTGGCTCTTCTCGGGTGTGTGCAGTAGTAGCTGTGACCCCCACGAAGCGGGCCAGTGCAGCCTCAGCCTGTTACCTCTGGTCAAGGGAGGGTGCCATCCGCCTCCCACAAGGCTGCTGGATGGTCCGTGACACAGCGTCGCTGGTCTGCTGCCTCCACCAGGCAGACGGCAGAGGCTCACCACACCGGCCTCATCACCTCTGAACGTGTGGACCACCCCTGGGGGAGGAGTGGCCATGCCTCGCACACAGACACACTCATACCTGTTTCCTCACAGGGACCTCCGCTTCAACAGGATCCGAGAGATCCAGCCGGGGACGTTCCGGCGCCTGAGGAACCTGAACACGCTGTGAGTAGACATGGTCTGTGGGAGCTGCAGGTGCTATGCGTGGACTACTGCCACTGTGTCCACGGGCTGCAGGGAAAGGGCCACCAAACAAGGACCCAAACTACTGTCCCATGTGGTGTGAGGGTTGGGTGTATACTCAGCCTTCCCCGGCAGGAAGCTTGGCGCTGTGTCCCATAAGATTGATTTATTTTTATATGAAAGGCTGATTTACAGAGAGGAAGAGGAAGAAAGAGATCTTCCAACCACTGGCACATTCCCCAGGTGGCTGGAATGGCCAAAGCTGAGCCAATCCGAAGCCAGCAGTCTAGAGCCTCTTCTGGGTCTCCCATGTGGGTGCATGGGCTCAAGGACATGAGCTGTACTGTCCGTCCCAGGCCACAGGCAGGGAACTGGATGGGAAGTGGAGCAGCCAGGACACGAACCGGTGCCTCCATGGACACTGGTGCTGGCAGGCAGAGGAACAGCCAGTTGAACCACTACACTAGCTCCAGGGTCATGGTGATCATGTGAGCAGATGTGACCTTGAGGGCTGGACACAGCCCGTGTGCCTGCTGTCTGGCCCGTCCGTGGCTTCCTCCCGGCCGTGGGGCATTTTCTGATGTGTGCTCAAACTTCCTGCAGGCTCCTCAACAATAACCACGTGAAGCGGATCCCTGGCGGTGCCTTTGAAGACCTGGAAAACCTCAAGTACCTGTGAGTGCCGTGGGCCGCCAGTGCTCAGCGGTGGCAGGGACGGGGTGCAGGGATGGAGTCCTGGGTCTAGTGCCTCGTGGGGAGTCTGTGTGTCAGGGGTTTGCAGGAGCTGCTGCTGGGGAACAGCTCTGTGTGTCGGGTTGCTACAGCACATTGAACTTGGTGGCCTCATCCGAGCGGTCAGGAGCACCACTGCCCCTCCTGCAGGTGATGGGGTGGTGGCCGCTCTGACGACGCCCGCAGTCTCCAGGCAGTGGGACTTATGACACGTGAGCTGTTATGAACGCTTTTAGATCATTGGCTCGGTGAAATGCTTGAGCCTGTGTTACATCCACTCTCCTCCCGCTTCGGGAGTAGGACATGCATCTCGTGTTGTGCTTGTGGGTGTTGTTGAGCAGGGGCACTCACTCCCAGGGCACCGGGTCTGCCTTTTGTGTGTTCCTTGAGCTGGTTGTCAGTCTGTCCATGTTGAGCCGGGGCATGGACTCCCAGGGCACCGGGTCTGCATTCTGTGTCCCCTGAGGTGGTTGTCAGTCTGTTCTCACTCCCAGGGCACCGGGTCTGCGTTCTGTGTGTTCCCTGAGATGGTTGTTGCTGCTGTAGCTAGGAGAGCCGTGTGGGATCTGGATGGGAGCTGTGGATTCAGCTGCCTGCAGCTGTCATTCTGCATGGGTGTGTGGGTGTGAGTGGTTTTGCTCCTTTTATTGTCTCTTGCTTTGCTTTGGGCTGTCCCAGAGCCAGCTGTGTCCCCTGCTGGCAAAGCCGGTGAGGAGTGACCCTCGCTGGCCCCCATTGTTGAACCCTCACTCCTGGTGGCTGTGCTCCATCCGCCCTCCTCACTCCCGGTGGCTTCGCTCCAGCTGCCCTTCCTCCTGGGCGCCTGGGCTCCATCCTGCCCTCCTCCCTCCCTCTCTGGGTGGCCGCGCCCAGCTGTCCTCCTTTGCCTGGGTGCACAGGGCAGACCCCTGGGGCAGTCGCAAGGCAGAGGTCTGCAGTGGCGCGAGGGCTGAGCTCGTCCAGTGCATCCTGCAGTAACCGTTGCACAGCTGCGTGATGTTCTTTGCATCTTTGTGTCCTTGGCTCTCTGACAGAGCGACTCTGATAAGCACTGGTGTCCAAAAATCTCTACATAATTTTGTCATAATGAGCATTTCCATGATTTTTTGAAGTTCCCTTGTTTGCATGGCTTTACAGATTTTTTTGTACCAAAAAAAAAAAATTTGTTTTTAATCCCATTTTCCATAGTCTTTCTGAAGTACTCTTGTATTAGTGATTGTCGAGTAGTCTTCGCTCCCTGTAACCACAGTTATGAGGCTTCTGTTAATTCCTGTTTCCTGATGCTGGGATTCTCGTTAGTGAGAACTGCTATGGAAACAGTTCAACTCTGTGATTAAGTAGCAATTTGCAGTGTATTATTAAAAGATTATTATTCTGAGAACAAATTATACTCCCATATCTTTGTAAACATGTGTTCATATTTATAGTTTAATTCTGTTGTTTACTTTTTTTTTTAAGAGTGAAGGAAAGTCAGACAGATCTTCCATCTGCTGGTTCACTCCCCAAATGGCCACAATGGCCAAAGCTGAGCTGATCTGAAGCCAGAAGCCAGGGGCCGGGAGCTTCTTCTGAGTCTCCCATGTGTGTGCAGGGTCCCAAGGCTTTGGGCCGTCCTTGACTGCTTTCCCAGGTCACCAGCAGGGAGCTGGATGGGAAGTAGAACAGTCGGGACAGGACTGGGGGCTCAGCATGTGCAGGTGGAGGATTAAGCGGTTGAGCCCTCACTCTGGCCCCCTGTTACATGTTCTTTAAAGGAATTTGAAGTGTTTAAATGTAAAAGGGTCCCCTGTATTTAAAGGGATTCCTTTGCTCTTGTTCTTACCTTACCTGGGCCTGGAGTCCTCCACAGAGAGACCCTGGGATGCTCAGTGCCCTCCATGCTGCCTGACCACTGTGGTGACCAGGTGCTGGCTTTGTGTTTCCTGTCAGTGCTTCTGTGCATGCGACAGGCAAAGTGGGCACCTGGAGGCCTGATGTTTTCCATAGGTTCCAGCAGGCAGTTGGTGGCCGGCCAGGGACGTGGAGCCATGCTGCAGGGCTAATGAGCTCTCCGGGGGGGCAGGTGCTAGGCAGCGGGCACTGCAGGCATTGTGGGACTTGGGACTGTCGTGCTAATGTGTCTGGGGATCTGGCAAGGGATGCCAGGAAGCAACAAGAAATAGCCGCTGTGTGCCAGACATTGAAGTTTTACGGACAGATCTCCCATCTGCAGCTTCACTCCCCAAATGCCCACGGAAGTTAGGCCTGACTGGGCTACAGCTGGGAGCCTGGAACTGACATGCTTCCCATGTGGGCTGTGGGGCTGCTAACTACCAGTCTAAATGACTGATCCCATTATGAATTCAAATACAATCAGTGCCTTGTCCTCACAATTGGAATGCTGTGCCACAGGCATCCATTCCGGAGGCACAGGTGGCTGCACTTCCACCTGCTGCCGGGCTCGGGACACAGAGCAGTGTGCAGCTGCCATGTCAGAGCCAGTGGTTAGTCGGGAGTGCCGTGGAGTGTGGTGCCGTCTCCTGACGCCATGCAGTGCCTGGAGATCGTGTTCGGAGGTGCACCCACTGGGAGACTGCAAGTGAGAGTTATGGTCGTCAGTGGGTGAAGGCAGGGCTCAGCGAGGGGTCGTCAGGGGACGAGGTTGTATGTGCTGAAGGCTGCTTGCCCCGGTTGCCTGGCTGCCCCAATCATATGTGCAGCTGGAGATGGTGCAGAAAACCTTGAAACCTGAGCTATGGACGCCGGCATTTGGGTGTCACATAATTTCCAGGTTCGGCAAAATGTTATTCCTCTTTTAAAATCCCCACGCCTTTAAAAACAGACTCACCAGCTAAGGCGGGCTGGCCACGCACCATGCATACACAGGTGACAGCCCTATGGCTTCAGCAAGAACAGGGTGCTCAGGCCGTGGTCCAGGACTCACCTGGGCTGTGGGGACTGCTCCTCAAGTTCTTTCTGGTGGGAGGGCACTGTCTCAACACAGTGTGTCCCTCGTGTTTGTGCAGCATGAGTGGGCGGTCAGCTGTCCAGAGCCTGGGAGCTCTGTGCCCACACAGGACAGGGGTCGGCTCTGCCTCCAGGTGGGGCATCCACTTGAGGTCTGGGGGCTGGGAGACCCCAGCAGCACCCGCGGTCACCACAGGTGCCGTCTGCGTGGTCCACATCTCTCTCGTCCATCTCAGTTTGCCTGTCTGTGTGCTAACACGCCATGTTTCTTGTTTCAGCTATTTGTACAAGAATGAGATCCAGGCAATTGACAGGCAAGCGTTTAAGGGACTTTCCTCTCTAGAGCAACTGTAAGTGCCTTTCCTTCCCATGCCCGTTGCCATGGTGAACCTCTGTGTGCTGCTTGCATGTTGCACGTTTGCCATGTGTGGGGTGCTGGACGCGTGTGCATGACCACGCCTAGGTCACAGCTTACCTGACCGTGGGTATCCACGGGGTGTCCTCCAGGCCAGGCCTCTGTGGCACCAAGAGCAGTGAGATCTGTGGACTGCGCACTTCCCAGGTTCACGGGGTGAGGCCGTGCCTCCTGGCAGTTACACTGCTTCAGCCTCGTGGAGTGCCGCCTGTGTGGTTCCGCTTAGTGGTTGTTGAGTTGACTAAGTCCTGGGTGCTTGGGCTGTGTCCTGGTTCGCAGTGTAAACTCGGCATAGGTGACCTTCTCTGCTCCTGACTAGTTGCTCTCTCCTGGGAACTGGACCCACTCCTGAGGGGCTTCGGGTCCTTGTGCAGTCAGCTGGAAACGACTGTGCTGAGAACTCAGTGTGACGCTCACACTGGGGCCCTGGCCGGGCCCGAGCCTGTGCTGCCTCTGCTCACACCAGGCCTGGCCCGAGGAAGGGCTGGGCTGTGCTAGCAACCAGCGCATGAGGCACTGGGGAGATGCTGGGAGAACAGATGGTGTAGGGGTAGGAATCGGGTGGGGGCGGGTAATGCTGCATCTCTAGAGTGTGTCTGGGTCCCAGTCTGCCTCTCGCCCTAGGTTTAGGTAAGAGGGGTGGATGGGAACTGGCGGAAATGGCAGTCTGCAGTGCCTGGGAGCATTCCAGGCTCCTCTGGGTGCCCCAGAGTCACAGGTCCTCTGCTGAGCCCTGGCTGTGTCTGGGGCCAGGGGAAGGGGCAGCTAGGCAGGGCCCTGTGTAGGGAGGCATCGGTGTAGCACTAGTGCTCCTGTCCCCTGACGGGCTGTGCGGAGGGCTGGGACCTCTGAGGGTGATTCCGCTGGAGCTGCCAGCTCCATCTTCATCCCTGTGCCCTGGAGCCCTGCTCAGACCCAGTACCTGGAAGCTACGGGGACCCTAAGGAGTGTCCTATCCTCCGGGTCGTGTGTGGGTGGCTCGGGGGGGGGGGCAGTGCTGTCCAGGGTGTGCCAAGCATGCATGAGAGGGGCCCTCATTCGGCTGCGACTGCACACACCGAGGCATTGCCAGGAGGGGATGCCCAGAGTGGCTGGAGTCAAACATGGCTGAGTCAGGGCAGGGGTCAAGACAAAACCCTGCGTGTGGGACTGGCACAGCCCATGGGTTCTCCCTGGGCAGGCCTGGGCACTGTGCCCTGCCTGCCTGGATCTGACAGCTCAACTTGTGTTTTGGATCTGACCCTTGCCTGCCCGAACCCCAGGGCCCAGGGCAGTAGAGACTGGAAGGTGCTGACTGCCATAGAGCCAGAGCCTGTGTGTGATGGCACAGAACATTTCTAGCTGCCTTGGTCAGACACTTTCCTAAACTTCCCACAGCAGGGTCCTCACAAGCCACTTCTCTCCATAAGGTGGCACAGCCCAGCCTGGGACAGACAGGACCTGAGATGCCCATGGCTCCCCTGGGCCGGCTTTGCCTTGGGAACCACCAGGGCAGCATGTGGTGGTGCAGTCCTTTGGGCAGGATGCTGGAGTGGCCATGTGTGATTCTGACAGAACACTGTGCATTGCTTCTGTGGCACGTGTGGACTGCTGCAACTCAGGGAAAACACATGGGGTGTGGTGGTGCAGGAAGGCCCCGCTGCCTCCTGGGTCTCCAAGTGGGAAAACGAGAGTGTGGGACAAGAGCACACTTGGTTCACTCCCACACACACTCCCTGGCTTCTGTGCAGTGAAAAATCCAGAGCATGTGTCCCCATCCAAGAGCTGGGCCTGCAGGGCCCCCATCATGCACCTCTGCAGGTGCTCCCATCTGAGATCTAGCCTGCAGGGTCCCCATTCGTGCACCTGTGCAGGTGTTCCCGTCCGGGATCTAGCCTGCACGGGCCCCCATCATGTACCTGGACAGGTTTTCCTGTGAGGGATCTAGCCTGCAGGGCCCCTGTTCGTGCACCTGTGCAGGTGTTCCCATCTGAGATCTAGCCTGCATGGATCCCCATCATGTACCTGGGCAAGTGTTCCTGTGAAGGATCTAGCCTGCAGGGTCCCTGCCATGCACCTGTGCAGGTGTTCCCATCTGGGATCTAGCCTGCAGGGTCCCCGCCATGCACCTGTACAGGTGTTCCTGTCTGGGATCTAGCCTGCAGGGTCCCCATTCGTGCACCTTGTAGGTGTTCCGGCCGGGATCTAACCTGCAGGGTCCCTGCCATGCACCTGTGCAGGTGTTCCTGTCTGGGATCTAGCCTGCAGGGTCCCCGCCATGCACCTGTGCAGGTGTTCCCATCTGGGATCTAGCCTGCAGGGTCCCCGCCATGCACCTGTACAGGTGTTCCTGTCTGGGATCTAGCCTGCAGCATCCCCATTCGTGCACCTGCGCAGGTGTTCCCGTCCGGGATCTAACCTGCAGGGTCCCTGCCATGCACCTGTGCAGGTGCTGTCACTGGGAGGCAGCAATGTGTGGCTCACTCTGAAATTCAGAGGCAATGGCAGAGGGCAGGTACCACCCTCAGCCATTGGTGTCAGGGAGATTCAGGCCACTGCCCAACAGATGTGCCAGCTGCCCTTCTCCTTGGAGGCTCAAGCTGCTGCTGGACGGATGTGCCAACTGCCCCTTTCCTTGCTTTCACTCGTTTCCCATGCAGTATCGGAGTTGGCGTGTGAGGGAAAAAATGCTTCTGGCTGCAAGATTTTCAAAGTGTGAGTTTCAGTTCTGTCTCCTTGCTTCCCACCCTGCAGATACCTGCACTTCAATCAGATTGAGACGCTGGAGCCCGAGGCCTTCCGGCACCTGCCGAAGCTGGAACGGCTGTAAGTGGTGCCCCTCCCGGCCCGCAGGCGAGGCAGCACTGTCGGAGGCCCGCATGCCCTTCCGGCCGAGAAGCCAGGTCCCCAGGTGGAGGGCCTGAGAATCGGACAGCGCCCGCTCTGTTCTGGGCTGTGTGGTGCTTGTTTCTGCTGGAGGGTTGCAGAGCTGATTGCCAGCAGCTCCAACTCTTTGGCATATCTGAGAATCTGCTCTGCCATGTGACCTCTCTGCAGATTCCTGCACAACAACCGGATCACACACTTGGTCCCCGGGACGTTCAGTGGCCTGCAGTCCATGAAAAGACTGTGAGTGTCCTGCCCAGCCCCTCACCGGGGACATGCAGAAGTGGGTGGAACACTGCTGGCTTGGCAGTGGGCACTGTCCACCTGTGACATGGGGTCTGCAGACTCCCCAAGCCTGCGTCCTTTGCATTTGAAGTGAAGTCTGCATGCAAAGAACCTCTGGCCTGGTTCTGTCCCCTATTAGGGCCTGTGCGACTGTCACGTCTGCCCATATCTAGGCCTTCAGAGTGGCCTCCCTCTGCCACACAGCTTTGTGGGGAGTGGGGCGTGTGCACCCAGTGGTGGCCTTTGGCTCGGAGGACCAGGCCCCAGACCCTGAGTGCCCGTAGCTTGACTGCTCCTGATGAGGTGGGGAGCAAAGAGCAGGCCTCTGTGATGGCTGTTTTTTCTTCTTGGGATACAGAAATCCATCATACTCCATGCTGGACAGGGAGGAGCTAGTGCAGCTGGAGACCCTGCACGAGGCTCCAGGAAGTGCTCAGGCTGTTTGGGCCGGGGCCGGATCACCCTGGCAGCCGCCCCGCCTGCTGGGACTCTTGGACGGCATACGTCCACTGACCTTGAAGTTCAGTTTTTTGTGTTCCCAGCTCTTCCTTCATCCAACCACAAAACCCAGGAGAGAGCCAGTGAGGGATTTACTGCTACATGCACAGGGCTCCTGTCCGGGCCGCTGCAGCTGACGGCAGCTGTCACCAACTGGGCCTTCCTGGGACCCCAGCCCTGGGCACCCCTTTGCCTGTACCTCCCCCTTGCCTCCAGTGCCCTGTCCCCCTCTGGTCTCTCCCAGTGTGGGCCTGTTGCGCCCAGAAGGATGGCCATTGCCCCCTAATTGTGTGCACCCTGGTCCTCACTACTCAGGGTCCGGGTGCTTTGGCAGCTGTCTGTCCACTCAGCCATATGCACTTGGTCCAGTCCTGCTTTTCAAGGTACCGCTTCTGTGCACAGCCCCTCAGAACTGTGCCCTGGGACTAGAGCCTGTGATGGTGGCAGCAGGAGGCCACCACAGCCTTCTACCCTCAGCGACTGTGGGTGTGCCTCTTCCCAAGACCCTAGCCCCATCTGCCAGGGCATATTTTGCTTGTCTGTCCGAGAATGCATGTCCCTTCCTGAAACTCCTCCTCCTCCCGCCCTGTTTCCCTGGGGAAGGTCCTGCTGGATTGGGACATCAGATATCCCAGGACATGGCCTACAGCACTGCTGCCCTGGTCAGTTCTGCATGGGGAGGCCTGGGGCCGGGGAATTGGGATGCTTCAGAACATAGTGCCAGCGACAGGGGATGCTTACCCTCCAGATACACAGACCAGCTTGGCACCTTGTCGCTGGACTCCTAGGGACTCTCCCTGCCGTTGGCAAGCCCAGGCCCCTTGGGTTCTCTCTGTACCCACATGTCCCTGTCCTTCCTCAGGCAGGACTGGGGCTGTGTCACAGGAAATGTGGCCACTCCCAGAGTGCTGAGTGCCTAGCTGCCCCTCCTGCATGCCTGTGGCTCTGGGGGGTGACCCTGTGCCTCACCGCCCCCTCTGCCCCAGGCGACTGGACTCCAATGCACTGCGCTGTGACTGTGGCATCCTGTGGCTGGCAGACCTGCTGCGGACCTACGCCCAGGAGGGCAGTACACAAGCAGCCGCCACCTGCGAGTTTCCCAGGCGCATACAGGGCCGCTCCGTGGCTACCATCACCCCTGAGGAGCTGAACTGTGGTGAGTAGACCCCGTCAGGCCCCATGAGCACCCCCAGCAGCACCTGGGGGAGCCAGGACTGGCCTTTGCTCGTTGGAGCCTGGCTCTGCAGTAGCGCCTGTCTGTGGGCTAAGCCTCTGCAGACGTTGGCAACAGGTGCTGGTTCTCATCCCAGGTACTCTACTTCTCCACCCAGCTTCCTGCTGTGTCCTGAAAAAAGCAAATGGAGCCCTTGGCAGGGTTGCAACATGGGCAACTTAGGGCTTAGCCAGGTGATTGCAGGCCATCCCTGTGTTGCAGCCCAAGCCTGTCACAGCCTGGGATATATCCCTTCCTTGTGTGTGTGTGGCTTGGGATGGGAGCTGTGTGGGCTCTCAGGGTTCTGGGGCATCCTCAGCCACATGGCCGCATTCCACGTTTCCCCTCCTGTGAGAGGCAGCGGTCCCTGCATTTGCTCCCTTCAGGGGTTTGAGGTAGCTGTGTGGGTGCCACCCCCGACATCGGTGGTTCCCACAGGGCTGGCTGGGATGTCCATGGCCCCTCCCGGCCATGGAGGTGACCCAGCTGCCACCTGCTCTGCCTGGCAGTCACAGCCTCACCGTATCCTGTGTTGCAGAGCGACCTCGGATCACGTCGGAGCCACAGGATGCCGATGTGACATCTGGCAACACCGTATACTTCACCTGCAGAGCTGAGGGCAACCCCAAGCCCGAGATCATCTGGCTCCGAAACAAGTGAGTTGGGCTGGGCCGCCTGACACCCACCCTGTGTCGCTGAGACCCCCAAGCTGTGGGCTTCACTGCCTCAGCACAGCCCACCTGCTGCCCTCTTGTCTTCCGGTCAGAAAATGCTAGGGATGAGCCCCCTTCTCCCTCACTGAGAGGGGGTGCCCGTCTCCTCCTGCGCCCCCTTCCAGACCTTCTGCCGCTGGCCTCGTTGCTGGAGGCCCAGGGAGGGACTGGGGCCATGTCCTTGATTCTTCTGCATCACTGTTTCCTGTCAATGGCTTGTCGGCCAGGGCTGGAGGCCTCCATTGTGTCACTGGCATCCGTGGGGGAGGAGGTCGCGAGTGGTGGCTGGGCCTGCTGTCCTAGTGGTTGGAGCAGACCTGTCCCTGTCACAAAGTGGAACTGGCTACAGCGCAAAAGGAGGAAGGCAGACAATTGTGTCAGCTTGTAGTGGGAAAGCAGACAGACGTGGCTTCTGCTTTTGGCTTAAGAGAAAGAGCTGTGAGACGCAAAGGAAAACGTTGCCTTCGATTTGGGGGCGTTTATTGCATTTTCTTTGTTTGAAAAGCAGTGACACAGAAGTAGAACTGAGGAGGGACAGCATCTGCTCGTTTGCTTCCAGATGCCTGCAGCAGCGAGGTCTGGCACTCAGAGCTGGGCTCAGGAACTCCCGCTAGGTCCCCCACATGGGTGCCCCCTCTGCTGCCTCAGCCAGCGGACTCGGGGGCGAGGGGGCAGACCCCAGTGCCGTCCAACATGGGAGGCAGGTGCCCTGCGTCCAGGACCTGCCCTGGTGTTTTAGGAATTTTCTTCGCTTTGACAATCAGGAACACATGAACCATTTACACTGAACATGAGAGGCAAACACGAACGAGTGAGGTGTGCAGGGGTTCTCCGATCGCCAGACTTGGCGTGAGGTCAGGCGGGTGAAAGAGCGGGGACTGAGGGGGCAGGCACTGTACTGGCTGTGTCTATGTTGTGATTTAGATTTGGGCCAAATATTTATTTCCTAGGTTCTTGTCTTTTACTTAACAAGCATTTTAAGCACAGGCACCAACACAGCTTATACAAGTGGTGAAGTTTATCCAGAGGGTCAGGATGTGGACCAGAGCCAGAGAGTGGAAGGGTTAGGCAGAGGGCTTGCCCCCTTTTGTTCTTAGGGAATGCCTGCAGGAAGTGAGAGTGTGCGAGAGCTTGTGGGAGATGAAGGCAGGAAACCCGACCAAGGAAGAAGTAGTGTCCAGAAGGGCCAAAAGGATGAGCCCCTCCCCCCAGGGCTTTCATGCGGCTTGAGAGGGGCGTGACGGGCAATGTGACCTTGTACCACCCACTCCCCCAAGTCCCAGGTAGAGTTCGCACTGCCTGACCCACCAATGGGCAGAAAGTCGTGCACAGGCTGAGGAGGTGTGGCTTCAAGATGCATGACCCAGAACCAGCTGCTGGCCTAGACCACACCGTCCTCAGGTGCCACGTGCAGCCTGCCACAGCTGGCACAGCAGGGCTTCGCTGACAATATGGCATTCCCTCATGCTTGCAACTTTGTGTCTCTGAAGTAACGAGCTGAGCATGAAGACAGATTCCCGCTTAAACCTGCTGGATGATGGCACACTGATGATCCAGAACACGCAGGAGACGGACCAGGGCATCTACCAGTGCATGGCCAAGAATGTGGCTGGGGAGGTGAAGACACACGAGGTGACCCTCAGGTACTTTGGGTCTCCAGGTACGTGAAGGGCGACCGCTCTGTCCACCTCTCCCTCTCCTTCACCCGAGTCAGTGGGGCCTTGCTCTGGGACACATCCCTGGTGTGGGCACCTCGGGCAGGTGACCGCCTGGAGCCTGCGGGAACTGAGGCCACAGTCTGTGTTGCTCGGGGAGTTGGTTCTTGGAAAGGTGGAAATCCTGGTGTTGTGAAACCACCTTGTTGAGAACACTGACATCTCAACAGGTGCCAGTGCTGAGGGTGGCTGGCAAAACCACGGTCTCGGAACACAGGCCATGCACTCTGTTCTTGGTGTATTCAAGCAGGTAGCAGGCCCATCTCCTGGAAGAGTAGGCCAGGTCCTTGCAACTTGCCCCCAGCTGGCCTCCACGCAGTGACCCTGCCAGCTGCTCTGAAATCCCCTCCAGGCCATTCTGCCGCTGGCACCTGGGTGATGCCGTCTCTGCCTGTAGCCTCATGAGGCACTCCAGGGCTGTAGTGTGTGTGCCTGGGCGGCCTAGACTCACACCTATGAGCAGAACTGCACACCACATGTCTGAGTGAACGAGGAGTCCTAGCTGTCGGCCTCTGGGGTAGAGGCCTTGCTCGCCCCCTCACCTTTAACCTGATGCTGAGCATGAGTTCTGTGTCAGGCAGGGTTGCCGACAGAACGGGGAGCTCGGGGGATGCTGCTCTTAGTTGCAGCCTGAGAGTTGCTATGTGTGCTGCCTGCCTGTGTCCTGGACAGCAGGGTTCACGCCTCGCTGGCATCCTCTGGGTGGGTGTGGAATCCTGCCTTTTCTGTGGGTGGCAGACATGTGTAGCTCCCTCTGGGAAGCTGCTGGCACAGCCCCCTGGGGCATGCAAGAAGGACTTATGTCGCCTGTCGCTAGGAGGTCTGGGAGGTGGCAGGCTGCCCAGATGTTGCTGCGGGCCCCCCGCCCCTGCAGGCCACCCTGGCCTCCAGCCTGTTCTTCCGTCTCTGTGTTGGGAACAGGTTTTAACAGTCCGAGAAGAAAAATAGTATTTTATGGCATGTGACAACTATAAAATTCAAATGTCAGTCTCTGAACTTCCTTCTGGGGAACAACCGCCCCTCACTGCCCCTCACCGTCTCCAGCTATGCACTTCACCCAGTTGTGGCAGCAAAGCCTGGACCTCAAGGGGGACGGAAGTCGGGCCTGTTGATAACAGGTGTGTGAATCAGGACTTACTAACCTCCCAGTAAAAGGAGCTGTGAATCTCCTTAGGGAGGGAACAGATAATGCAGACTTCATGCACTCCAGGGGCACAGGACTTGCGGACTTTAATTCTCCTGTTGAATAACAGCTTTGCTCATTAAGAAATCAAATTAGAGATGATTATGTTTATTCTTCACCTTCCCACCACAGTAGACACTTGATTAATGCAGCTGCCACATTGACCAAGACAGAAGCATAGGGATGGTGCTCCCTGGTCTGCTGGCTGCCGTTTCCTCTCCCAGCCCACACCCAGTGTCTCCCCGGTTGGCTCTATGTCTTTCTGCCAAAACAAGCACATGCAGGACACGTCCCATCTGCTGGCCCTACATGCTTTCCTTTTTTGTAGCTGCGTGGAAGTCCACCCCTTGATGCCCCATGATCCATTAGACCTGAGTGGGGGGCTGTCCAGAGCTGTCGGCATTTCTGTTCTCAGAGGTCCATGTCCTTCATTTGGAATGCTTTAAGTCCCACCCTGAGATAGATAAACATGGCAGGGTGGAGTGTTGGGGGAGCCTAGAGAGTCTGCCCAAGCCAGCCACCACAAGGGACTGACCCTGCACAGTACCGGTGGCCACTGTGTCACTGCTTATAACACCATGCACCACAGATCCAGCAAACAGAGGCTCTCCATTCAAGAGATCAAATTTTGCAGGCAATTAGCCTGAAAAACTGTTGAGCTTACCCTCAGATTTGTGTGTGTGTAATACTGTATACAAATGTCTGGTTTACACTGATAGCAGGCATGCGGCTTGTTCAATGTGTATTCTAAACAGGAAGAGTCTGCATTTCCATGTCAGTGTGTGTGTGTGCAGTGTAGTCTGTGTGTTCCATGTCAGTGTGTGCGAGTGCAGTGCAGTCTGTGTGTTCCGTGTCAGTGTGTTCCATGTCATTGTAGTCTGTGTGTTCCGTGTCAATGTGTGCGTGTGCAGTGCAGTCTGTGTGTTCCGTGTCAGTGTGTGCGTGTGCAGTGCAGTCTGTGTTCCGTGTCAGTGTGTGCGAGTGCAGTGTAGTCCGTGTGTTCCGTGTCAGTGTGTTCCATGTCATTGTAGTCTGTGTGTTCCGTGTCAGTGTGTGTGTGTACAGTGCAGTCTGTGTGTTCCATGTCAGTGTGTTCCATGTCATTGTAGTCTGTGTGTTCCGTGTCAGTGTGTGCGTGTGCAGTGCAGTCTGTGTGTTCCGTGTCAGTGTGTGTGCGTGTGCAGTGCAGTCTGTGTGTTCCGTGTCAGTGTGTGTGTGCAGTGCAGTCTGTGTGTTCCGTGTCAGTGTGTGCGTGTGCAGTGCAGTCTGTGTGTTCCATGTCAGTGTGTGTGTGTGCAGTGTAGTCTGTGTGTTCCGTGTCAGTGTGTGCGTGTGCAGTGCAGTCTGTGTGTTCCGTGTCAGTGTGTTCCATGTCATTGTAGTCTGTGTGTTCCGTGTCAGTGTGTGCGTGTGCAGTGCAGTCTGTGTGTTCCATGTCAGTGTGTGTGTGTGCAGTGTAGTCTGTGTGTTCCGTGTCAGTGTGTGCGTGTGCAGTGCAGTCTGTGTGTTCCATGTCAGTGTGTGCGTGTGCAGTGTAGTCTGTGTGTTCCGTGTCAGTGTGTGCGTGTGCAGTGCAGTCTGTGTGTTCCATGTCAGTGTGTGTGTGTGCAGTGCAGTCTGTGTTCCGTGTCAGTGTGTTCCATGTCATTGTAGTCTGTGTGTTCCGTGTCAGTGTGTGCATGTGCAGTGCAGTCTGTGTGTTCCATGTCAGTGTGTGTGTGTGCAGTGTAGTCTGTGTGTTCCGTGTCAGTGTGTGTGAGTGCAGTGCAGTCTGTGTGTTCCGTGTCAATGTGTGCGTGTACAGTGCAGTCTGTGTGTTCCGTGTCAGTGTGTGCATGTGCAGTGCAGTCTGTGTGTTCCGTGTCAATGTGTGCGTGTACAGTGCAGTCTGTGTGTTCCGTGTCAGTGTGTGCATGTGCAGTGCAGTCTGTGTTCTGTGTCAGTGTGTGCGTGTGCAGTGCAGTCTGTGTGTTCCGTGTCAATGTGTGCGTGTACAGTGCAGTCTGTGTGTTCCGTGTCAGTGTGTGCATGTGCAGTGCAGTCTGTGTGTTCCGTGTCAATGTGTGCGTGTACAGTGCAGTCTGTGTGTTCCGTGTCAGTGTGTGCGTGTACAGTGCAGTCTGTGTGTTCCGTGTCAATGTGTGCGTGTACAGTGCAGTCTGTGTGTTCCGTGTCAGGGTTATCCTGTGCTGCTTGGTAGTCTCTACCCTATGCAGTGTGAAGATGTTTCCACTGAATTTTCCCATGAATCATAGCATCATATGGGTTTGTTTCTGGAATGAGATTTTTCAGGCTTTTATCTCTGTGCATTGTTTAATGTTGAGGGAACTGAGGTGCTGTCAGTGCACCTGCCAGCATCCTTTCTGCAGTCATACCCACTGACATGTTGAATGAGGTTTGTAGGGTGTTGGATAAGCAGAGGTTAGAATGTGTGTGCGCCTTAGGACATCTCTGAGAAGGAGTCAGGCTCTGCTGTCTGAGCTGCCATTTTGTTGTCTGTGTTTTTGTTTAAACAAAGCGAGAAAGGTATGTGATTCACTTATTTTGTTTAGTTGTTTTGAAGGAAAACAGAATAGTAGCCTGACTGTGGAGAAAGTTAAGAGCAAACCTGAGGTGGAGAAATTAACTGAGGGTTTCTGTCTGTGACAGCTCGGCCCACTTTTGTAATCCAGCCACAGAACACGGAGGTGCTGGTGGGCGAGAGCGTTACCCTGGAGTGCAGCGCCACGGGCCACCCTCCGCCCAGGATCTCCTGGACCCGTGGTGACCACACCCCGCTGCCTGCTGACCCGCGGGTGAACATCACGCCGTCTGGTGGACTTTACATTCAAGATGTGACGCAAGGGGACAGTGGGGAGTATGCATGCTTTGCATCCAATGGTGTTGACAGCATCCGTGCCACAGCCTTCATCATCGTCCAGGGTAGGTGTCCGTGAGCCTGGCGGCCCTGCCTGTGCCCACGTTGCTCCTGGTGCCTCACTCCTGACCTCCTCGAGCTCTGTGCCACTTTATCCTCTTCTCACCCACGATGCTCCATTCCTGTGATGCAGCCAGTTGCTCATGTCCTGCATGAGAGGCAGGGGAGTGGACCATTGTGTGGGGCTGCCATGTCCATGCGGTGCAATGGTGCTCCTGGCTGCCTGTCCACATGGCCGTGTCAGCATGGGCTGGCTGCCTGTCCACGTGGCCGTGTCAGCACAGGATGGCTACTGTGTCCACATGGCCGTGTCAGCACGGGCTGGCTGCCTGTCCACATGGTCCTGTCAGCACAGGCTGGCTGCCTGTCCATGTGATCATGTCAGCACAGGCTGGCTACTGTGTCCACATGGCCGTGTCAGCACAGGCTGGCTACTGTGTCCACGTGGCCGTGTCAGCACAGGCTGGCTACTGTGTCCACATGGCCGTGTCAGCACGGGCTGGCTACTGCGTCCACATGGCCGTGTCAGCACGGGCTGGCTGCCTGTCCATGTGGCCGTGTCAGCACAGGCTGGCTACTGTGTCCACATGGCCGTGTCAGCACGGGCTGGCTGCCTGTCCACATGGTCCTGTCAGCAAGGGCTAGCGCATGTCCATGTGGCCAACAGCACGAGCTAGCTGCCATGTCCACAGAGCTGTGTCAGCGTGGGCTGACAATTGTGTCCACACGGCCATGAGGCTGGCTGCTGTGTCAGCATGGCTGTGTCAGTGTGGGCTGTGTGTGGCTGTCAGTGTGTCCACGCAGCCATGAGGCACCTTAGTGCTGCTTCCCGAAGCTCTGTTTCCCCAGGGCCCCTCCTTCTTTCCACATGGCTTTAGTAACCATCAAGTGGCACGACTGGACTTGAAGCTGCAATGTGGGGCGTTCATGGGCAGCACAGCCTGCAACCCTGAAGCTCCCCGTGCCTCCCTCCTGCCCTGTCTCTGGGTCAGCCTGTCCCGAGTCCATCCTCCCAACTTTCTTTGCACAATAATGTTCTGTGGTTTCGCTGAAGGGAGGGATGGGGAGATGCTGTGGCTTTTGTACTGTCGTGTCCTGCACCTCAGCTTTCCCCCCCAAGTCCCGCACACAGTTGCACCAGCTGATGTTTCTGATGCTTTGGATTGATAAATGAGATCAGTCCCTGTGAATGGGCCTTGTGCTCATAGACTAAACCTGGGCATCAGCCACGCCTGCCCACACTGGGGCTGGCAAAGCCGGAGCATTCCTGCTCAGCTGGGCAGCACACCCTTGGCTGATGCTCAGCCATGCTGTTTGGAAACCCCTGAGTGTCTGTCGTGCTAACCTGCTGAGAGGTACAGCATGGGTACTTTGTTTTTCAAGATTCGCGTGTATGAACCACAGAGAGAGAAATCCACCTGCTGCTTCACTCCCCAGTTGGCTATGCCAGTCAGGGCAGTGTCAGGTTGAAACCAGGAACCTGGAGCTCCATTGAGGTCTCTCGTGGGGGTGGCAGAGACCCAAGCACTTGGGCCCTCTTTGGCTGCTTTTCCAGCTGCTTCTTCCAGGGAGCTGTAATTGAAAGTAGAGCAGTGGGCACCCCAACTGGTACCCTTCGAGATTGCTGGCATTATAGTGGTGGCATTTTTGCGTGCAGCGCTTTTACCCAGTTCTGTTTCTTTAAAAAATGCTTATTATTCACACCTGCCTGGAAGATGGATGGAGATCCTGTGGTTCATTCCTCAAATGCTCACAGCAGCCAGGGCTGGTCCAGGCTGAAGTCAGCAGCAAGGAACTGCATGAGATTCTTGCACAGGTGGCAAGGGTCCCAGCAGATTGGGGACTCTGCTAGGCACTCAGAAACGGAACTGGGGATTTCCTGGGCACTCAGACACAGGGTGCTGGGACCCTCGCAATAACCTAGTGGCTAAAAGTCCTCGCCGTACATGTGCCAGAATCCCTTGTGGGCACAAGGTTCATGTTCCAGCTGCTCCACTTACCTTCCAGCTACCTGCCTGTAGGCTGGGAAAGTAATAGAAGATGGTCCAAAGCCTTGGAACCCTGCACCCATGTGGGAGACCTGGAAGAAACTCCTGACTTTGGAATGGCTCATGTTGGGCCGTTGCAGCCATTTGGGGAGTGAACCAGCAAGTGGATAATCTTTTTCTGTGTCTCTCCTTCTTTCTGTAAATCTGCCTTTTTAATAAAAAGGAATAAATCTTAAAAAGAAGGAAGGGAAAGGAAGGGAAAGGAAGGGAAAGGGAAGGGAAGGGAAGGAAAGGAAGAAGGGAGGGAGAGAGGGAGAGGGAAGGTGCTGGCATTCTGAGCTGTGGCTTCACTTGCTGTGCCACACACCTGTCCAGTGCCATTTTCCAAATGTCCTATTTCTGCAAGTCTCTGTGTCTGGCATTACCAGAAGAGGCTTTCCTTGGGTCAAGGTGAGGATGACCGGCAGAGACTTGGTCTGGATCCAGTAAAGAGCTGAATTAGCTGAGACAGTGAAAGCAGGAGGAAGATCCACTCTCACACACACCCACCTTCCAGGCCAGACCTCCGTGGCACCCAGAGACCCAGATGTCACCCAGAGTCTCCTGGCTCTTGTTGAAGTTGGAAGGACAGTGCCCGGTCTTGGCTGGGCCTGCCCACTGCTTGCCTGGATGGGCAGCCCCACAGCAGAGCTTGCTCCTGCTCGGGACGGCCGAATGGGATGACCAGGAAGTGGTAATTTGCCTCCTGATTTAGAAAGCTGAGTGGAATTTCCGAGTCATGCCGAAGAACACAGGTGGCGTCTTTCCCGTGTGAAATGCAATTGCAGCAGTCCTCCGGGCACGCTTTACAGAATACATCATCTGTGTCTTCTCGTCACGAATCCACAAGGAAATAGATTTTCCTGTTTTTTATATTTGCTGAAACCTTTTTATTCACACAAAATAGGATCGGGTCATTGATCGTTGATGGGAATTCTCCAGAGGAAGATGAGGCGCAGACAGTCTGGCCTCCACGGGAGTGAAAGGGACAGATGCAGTACAAGTTCTGAAGGTGTTAGGGCAGAGGGATACTGTCTCCCCGAGAGGGAGTCCCCGCGCTCCTTCCGCAGTACCCCGACTGTGTTTGTCCTGGCCATGTGTGCTGCTCGGGCTTGTTCTTGCCAGCGTGGTCTTACTCTGGCTGCTTTCATTCCCGAAGCCTACGTGGGTTTGCCCTTCTGCTTCCTGGCGGCTGCTGCTTTCCCTCCCAACTTGCTCTCTGGAAGACCAGCTCCTGCATGTGCTGACTGCTGCTTTACCTGCAGGATGCTCCCCTGGCTTGTCCGCAGAACATGCAGCCCTGCCTGCAGTGCAATGAAAGCAGGAAGCTGTTACAAGTCGTTGATCATGCAGAGGCGTATTGCAGTCAGGGCAAGATGTTGCTAAGATGGAGAATTAAGGGCTCCCTGCTGGTCTCATTTGCACATGTACAAATAAGGAAGCTTGCATTAGGTGAGACTCTTAGAGAAGACTCTCTTACGGAACGTGTTTTATTTCATTGTCTAATTACGTGAGTAATAGACATGGCAAGAAATAACCTTGTGCAGTCTGGATGAATGTTTTGGAATTAATGATTGTTCCCTTGTTTTCCTCCACAGCCTTGCCCCAGTTTACGGTGACTCCTCAGGACAGAGTCGTTGTTGAGGGTCAGACAGTCGACTTCCAGTGTGAGGCCCAGGGTTACCCACAGCCGGTCATTGCCTGGACCAAGGGAGGTGAGACCTGGTCCTGGGGCTGTTCCAACATGGCCAAGGAGCTCTGATGTGGCTAGAAAACGGGGTACCTCCTGCTGTCTCACCTTTAATCAGCATCTCCAGCAAAATCTAACAGTCTGTGGGATGGGAGTATCTGGAACTCGTGCATGAATACATTACAACAAGGCAGCTTATGTCCCTTTGTTCCCAGACTTTCTGTCACCTTTATGCTATGAGCTGACACCATGGTGCAGCTGGTCAACCTCTGCTTGCCATATCTGATGCAGGTGCAGCCTGGCCATCCCAGCTCATTTAGCCTTTGCCTCTGCGGGCAGCCACTCCCTGGGGCTCATTCCCACTTCCTCACAGAAACATAGCCATGTCTGCTGGCCTGGAACTGCCTCAGGCCAGCCCTATGAGGTTCTGCTTGCCTTTCGAGTCCTGCATCTGCGTTGAACCCCAGACCCCTGTACTCCTGACTGATGTGTGCTCCTTGCAGGCAGCCAGCTGTCAGTGGACAGGCGGCACCTGGTACTGTCATCTGGGACACTGAGGATCTCAGGGGTCGCCCTGCATGACCAGGGCCAGTATGAGTGCCAAGCAGTCAACATCATCGGCTCCCAGAAGGTTGTGGCCCACCTGACCGTGCAGCCCAGAGGTGCGTGTGGGTGTTGCTGTGTGCACCTGTCTGTGACACCAGGAATCTGGGGCTGCTGTCCCTCTCTGTGCTCATGGTCCCCAGGAGTGTGGGAGCTCGCTGAGTCTCTGCACTCTGGCACTCCTGGATCTCAATGCCGATCGACTCTCTTAAAACCCACCAGGTCCCTGGTGGATTTGTGCTTGAGAGGAAGGGCTCAGGAGATGTGGGGACTGGGTGCTCACCACCCTGCTGGCCCTGGGGGTGTCTCCTTGACCTGTCCATCCCCTTGCACATATCACAGGGGCCTTTGTATCTTGTGACAGGCAGGCTCACCAGCTAAAGGTCCCAGATGGGGAGATGGTCACGGAGCTGAGCTAGCCCCAGCTGTCTTGGGGGGCGGGGAGCTGGCACGGGGGCCCATACAGCTGGTGGAGAACCCTGTGGGGCTGGATGTGGGACACCAGGAAGGACTTCCTGTCAGTCTCTCAGCAGATTGGTGACCTTGCTCCACCTGTGCGTTTTGTGGGTTTGTGTTGTGGTGCCCAGTTGGGCAGACTGTGTCCTGCTGTGGCAAGGACATGCGGGTGAAGATTCCAAGGCTATGCTTTGTGGAGGAGAGGGCTGTTGTCTCTGCAGCTCCTCTGGGCCCTACTGTGTCCTCAGTAGGTCATGCCACCTGATGGGTGTGGGACAACGACTGTGTCCCAGGCCCTGGGCATGGTGGCCTCTGAGCAGAAAAGACTTGGTTAATGTGGGCCCTTGTGCCTCTGGTGTTGGGCAGACTCAGACCTAGCTTGGGAGGCTGGGAGTGGGAAGGGGCAGGCAGATAGCTGTGCCTCCTGAGCTCTGTGTGGATGCTAAGTGCTGCAGTGAGTGGAGCTCACAGGATACCTGTGGGAGCTGGTGCTTGGGCAAAGCCTGGGAGGCTGGGAGTGGGACCCAAGGGGCAGGCAGCTGGCTGTGGCCTTCTGAGCTCTGTTTGTGCTGGTGCCACGTGCTGCTGTGGGCAGAGCTCGCAGGACCTCCGTGGGAGCCACGTACTGCAGTGGGCAAAACTCACAGGACCCCCGTGGCAGCCACGTGCTGCAGTGGGCAGAGCTCACAGGACCCCCGTGGGAGCTTTGCTGAATCCCACCTGTGTGCTTTGCAGTCACGCCTGTGTTTGCCAGGATTCCCAGCGACCTCACGGTGGAGGTGGGCACCAATGTGCAGCTGCCCTGCAGCTCTCAGGGGGAGCCAGAGCCAGCCATCACCTGGAACAAGGTGAGGGCGCGGGTGTGGAGTGGTGCAGAGGGGAGCAGGGGCTGAGGGCACGGGCATGGGTGTGGAAGGGTTCGGGATGGAGGGGCGCCATGCAGGCACAGGGGCAGAGGGGCGCAGTGAGGGCAGGTGCCAGTGTGGAGGGGTGGGGGTTTTGGGAGCAGCTGAGGTTCAGGGCAGTCCTGGCCCTCCCCATCCCTCTCTGCATCCAAAAGGATGCTCCCCTGGGACTGGTGCTGGGGAGGCCGAGGGTGTCCTCATGGACTCACTCACTCGCACCTTTCTGTCCCTCCAGCAGCGGAATCAGAAAACAGCGCTGTCTGGAGCCGTGGTCCCTTACCAGCAGTGCTCCATGGCCTTTAAGTTACTCATGAGTTCTGCATGGCATGTGTGTGTACATACAAGCACACACACATGCATGCACATACATTACTGTGTGTGTACAAACCATGTGTGTATATGTGTGATTATGCACATCCATGCCATGTGTGCACACATGCTCGTGTTTACATGCATGTACTTGTGGTCACAGGTATTGATCCGTGCACATGTGCACACACACATGCCAGCAGAACTCACATGGTGTGGGCAGAGCAGTAATGTGGGGTGTCTTGGGGACAGAGGGGGAGTGCCAAGAGTGGGAGCCCCCCGCCCTCTCTCCGCTCTGCTCCCAGCTTTCCTAGGTTAGCTGTGAGCCTTGGTGCTCGGCTCAGGTGCCTCTCCCTGAGGAATCAGTCTCTGTGCTTCCCCCACCCCTCAGTGTGTAGCCCACGGGAGTCACGGTGTGTCGCCCCACCCCCCAGAATAGAAGAGCTGGCCTCGGTGAGGCTCAGTGAGGAGGGAAGGAGGTTGTGCTCCAGAGTGGGCAGCACCACCCCCTTGGGGTGGGTCGGAGTCGGGGCGCCTAGGTGGCTCCCACAACCCACACCCCTAGAACAGTCTCCCTGTGGTCTGGTTGTGCCCACTTTCCTGTTTTTCTGCAGGATGGAGTCCAGGTAACAGAGAGTGGAAAGTTTTACATCAGCCCTGAGGGATTCCTGACCATCAATGATGTGGGGACAGCGGATGCTGGCCGCTACGAGTGTGTTGCCCGGAACACCATTGGCCACGCCTCTGTCAGCATGGTGCTCAGTGTCAGTGGTAAGGCCCACGGGGGTGTTCTGTGCCTGAGCAGACTGCCCGCCACAGCCGGGACACATGGGGCAGGGAGGCTCAGAAACCCAGGGCACCTTCTTGAAGGGACACAGGACAGGGCACTGAGAAGGAAACCCCAACCTTAGAAAGAGACTCCAAGGAAAGAGGAGATCCAGGGCAGCAGCGGTCACCCAGGGAGAGTGTGTCCTTACAGGACCGAGTGTCCACACAGGACCGAGCGTCCACGCCTACAGGGTGTTCTGTTTATGGGCAAAGGCACCGCATGTTGCCAGGATGGGAGCGCGTGGGAGCCTGCTGTTTTGAATGCAGCTCCTGAGGCACAGCGGGTGCCCGTCACACACCTGTATGCCCGGCTGCCCGTCCTCTTGCAGTCCCAGTCCTGCTGCCACGCACCCCAGGAGGCTGCGTGATTGTGTCTGTGCTTGGGTCCCTTGCCACTCTCAGGAAACCCTTGCTCCTGATTCAGCTGCTGCAGCTGCCTGAGGGACCAGCACATGCAAGATCTGTTTGCTGTTTGTCTTTGAATAAGTAAAGCAAAGCATTAAAAATGAGCCATTTCAAGCTTAATGACAGTAGGCCCCCATCATCCCCACCCCATCTGAGCATGTGCACAGTCAGCTCTTGTTGGAGAAACAGACTGTGTTGGACTGCTATGTGCTTTTTGAGGGGACGCAGTGTGCGTGCTGCTGCCTGGGCCGCTGGTGACGTGCACCCTGTGTCTCCCTAGTTCCTGATGTCAGTCGCAATGGGGACCCCTTCGTGGCTACATCCATTGTGGAAGCCATCGCCACAGTGGACAGAGCCATCAACTCCACCCGGACACACCTGTTTGACAGGTATCTTATGACTCCTCATCACTTGGGGAGAGAGAGGCAAGGTCCAGGGGGCATCGTGTGTGCAGATAGGCTCCAAGCCCTAACCTGTGCTGGCTGGAGGAAAAGCCTGCACTGCCAGACATGGGGGTCCCGGGAGTGTGCCCCTCCAGCCAGTCTGGAACGTGCCAGAAGCTGCAGCTGCTCCTTCGGGAGTGTTGTCACCCAGTGGTCTGGCAAACAAGCTGTTGGCTAGCGGCACCCATTGCAAGTCTCAGGTCTATTCTCTGCCGCCTCATTAAAACACGGTCTCTGGTTTTCTGTTTCTAGTGTCTTCTGGTTTTTGTCTGTGTTTTGTTTCTGTTTTCTTGCCTCCCACTTTGGATAAGCCAGGTACGGAGCATCCTGTGGGCACCAGTAGCTGTAGAAAAGTTGGTCGCGTGCTTGTGGGTGTGGAAGCTGCTGACAGGGCTCGCCCGTGTTTTTCCTTCCCTCCCCCAACACGTCAGCCGCCCTCGCTCTCCGAATGACCTGCTGGCCTTGTTCCGGTACCCACGGGACCCCTACACGGTGGAGCAGGCCCGGGCTGGGGAGATATTCGAACGCACGCTGCAGCTCATCCAGGAGCACGTGCAGCACGGCCTGATGGTGGACCTGAACGGCACAAGTAAGGACTCACTGCCCTTGCAGGGCCCTGGGAACACGCACATGGCCCGGCCGCCCTGCTGCCCAGCAGGACCAGGCCTCATGCCCCGTGGGGCTGAGACTGAAGCTGGTCCACCTGCTTGTGGTGCTTATTGCAGGTCCCTGGGGAGTCTCTCTGGTGCCATGCCCCTTAGGGTGCAGCAGATTCCCCCATGCTGAGAGTGTAGACCTGGCATGGCGGGACAGTGAGGGGTGACCCTGCAAGGCAGAGCTAGGTGCCGAAGTGAGAGACTGGTGGGGGTCCCCCTTCTGCTGTGGGGGTGACATGACCTGTCATCTTGATTGCTGTTGGTGCGCCACCGAGGAGATGGCTGTGTGCCACCCCCCCAACGGGAGGTGCTCCACCCCAGCACCTTGGGGTTTCTTGGTTGTCTGTGACCCCCAGGCTCCAGTGGGTGACAAGGAGGAAGGACTGCTCTCGGGGGGCAGGCCAGGCAGGGACCCTGTCGGGCAGAGCCAGGGCACGGGTGCCAGGAGCGCCTTCTCAGATGCCGTCAGCTCAGGCAGCCCATCCCACCTGGTGGGCTGTGTTCTGTGCTGTTGGGCTTCCGTTTAGTCTCCCTGTGCAGAATTGTTTAAAGCGGGAAACACTGGCCTGCGCCCAAGAGTTCGGATGAGGGAGGGACGGGTCTCCAGCACCGTGCCAGCGACCAGCCACCCCCTGCCTTCCAGGTTACCACTACAATGACCTCGTGTCCCCCCAGTACCTGAGCCTCATCGCCAACCTGTCGGGATGCACCGCACACCGGCGCATGGACAACTGTTCCGACATGTGCTTCCACCAGAAGTACCGGACACACGACGGCACCTGCAACAACCTGCAGCACCCCATGTGGGGCGCCTCGCTGACTGCCTTTGAGCGCCTGCTCACCGCGGTCTATGAGAATGGATTCAACACGCCACGGGGCATCAGCCCCCAGCGGCTGTACCACGGGCACGCACTGCCGCTGCCCCGCCTGGTGTCCACCACGCTCATTGGCACGGAGGCCATCACCCCTGATGCGGAGTTCACGCACATGCTTATGCAGTGGGGCCAGTTCCTAGACCATGACTTGGACTCCACAGTGGTGGCCCTGAGCGAGGCCCGCTTCTCTGACGGGCAGCATTGCAGCGTGGCGTGCAGCAACGACCCGCCCTGCTTCTCGGTCGCAATTCCGCCCAGCGACCCCCGGGCCCGCAGCGGCGCCCGCTGCATGTTCTTCGTGCGCTCAAGCCCCGTGTGTGGCAGCGGCATGACCTCGCTGCTCATGAACTCTGTGTACCCGCGGGAGCAGATCAACCAGCTCACGTCCTACATCGACGCCTCCAATGTGTATGGCAGCTCGGAGCACGAGACCCGCAGCATCCGGGACCTGGCCAGCCAGCGGGGCCTGCTGCGCCAGGGCATCGTGCAGAGGTCTGGGAAGCCACTGCTGCCCTTCGCCACAGGGCCGCCCACTGAATGCATGCGGGATGAGAACGAGAGCCCCATCCCCTGTTTCCTGGCCGGGGACCACCGTGCCAACGAGCAGCTGGGCCTGACCAGCATGCACACACTGTGGTTCCGTGAGCACAACCGCATTGCCACCGAGCTGCTGCGCCTGAACCCTCACTGGGACGGAGACACCGTGTACCATGAGACCCGCAAGATCGTGGGGGCCCAGATGCAGCACATCACCTACCAGCACTGGCTGCCCAAGGTGCTGGGTGAGGTAGGCATGAAAATGCTGGGCACGTACTGTGGCTATGACCCTGGCGTCAATGCTGGCATCTTCAATGCCTTTGCCACGGCCGCCTTCAGGTTCGGCCACACGCTCATCAATCCTGTGCTCTACCGGCTGGACGAGAACTTCGAGCCGATCCCGCAGGGCCACCTCCCCTTGCACAAGGCCTTCTTCTCGCCATTCCGCATCGTCAACGAGGGGGGCATCGACCCGCTGCTGCGGGGGCTGTTTGGGGTGGCAGGAAAGATGCGTGTGCCGTCCCAGCTGCTGAACACGGAGCTCACTGAGCGCCTCTTCTCCATGGCACGTGCTGTGGCCCTCGATCTGGCTGCCATCAACATCCAGCGTGGCCGTGACCATGGCATCCCGCCCTACCACGACTACAGGGTCTACTGCAACCTGTCAGCCGCCCACACCTTCGAGGACCTGAAAAATGAGATCAAAAACCCCGAGATCCGGGAGAAACTTCGAAGGTGAGTCTGGGGAGGTCCCCCACCCCCACTGTGGTGTGACATGTGTGGCTGTGTTCAGCTTGTGTTTTGGGGGAACCTGGATGAGAGACACTGATGGACAGCAGGCTAAGAGTGCAGTGCCATTGGAGGACCCAGGAGTCAATGTTGATTGTCACGACTGGCGACCTTTAGTGCCTGCACGCACACCCAGTCTGCCAGCATCAGACCTGAGCTAGAGGTGCGGCTGGGGGTCTGACAGGGCTGTGGAGAGATGAATTGACCGCAGGGAGAATCCCCAGACTCACCCGGGGCACTCTGGGGCTCTGAGCTCCCTGCTTCAGCAGGAGGGAGGGGGCAGATCCTCAGGGCTGCCCACAGAGATCTTGGGGCATCTGCCTACTCTCCCAGGTCATGTGCCCAGTGAGTTGTGGTGCTTTCCTGGAGAGAAGCAGGGCTGAAATGGGAACACTGTGTGGCTACAGCTCTTGGAAGGTCAGGCTGGCCAATGGACAGAGCCACGTAGGCAAGTGCTCCATGGAGGCCGCTAAGAGGGCCCCTGCAGATCCCTCACTCCCAACCTCTTCCTTCATGGGATTCATGTCAACTCCTTAGGGGCAATATGGCGCCTGCCCCGCAGCCTCTGCAGGCCTTGGCTCCATGGGAGAGGTGCGGTCCTTGTTGGTCAGTCCTCAGGTGGCCTGTTTTCACAGGGCTCATTTGGAGAGGACGGTCCATCCTGGCGAGCCTCATCCCTGAGCTTCCCTGGCTAGGGCCTGCCCTTAGCCTTCCAGAGTGGGGTGTTTACTTGTTCTTCATTGCAAGTCCCAGGTCAGTGAACACCATGTCCTGGGAAGCTGGGGCAGCCCAGGGCTCACTGGAAGACGTGGCACTGTCCTGCCACGGAGCTCAGCGGGGCCTCTGTTCCCGTCCAGGCTGACATATACCATGTTCCCAGCCACGTTTTATCAACTACCCTCAAAACAGTTCAGGACAGCGGCCAGCCTTGGAATGGGCAATCCTCATTCCCCGCCCTTCCCCCACCTCCCTTCTGCTTCTGCCAGCAGCAGAGCTGGAGTCAGGCAAGGTGGGGAGCAAAGGACAGACGCCTCCGTCCGCAGCTGTGGGGCGTGGGGCTGTTCCAGAGCTGCACTCACGAACTTGACCCCACTCTGCAGCACCTGGCCGGTCACCGTGTGTTTCTTTGCCGTCACCTTTTGGATATACGGAATGACCTGCCTGCGTGCTCCCTCTCTGGACTCAGAGCCTCCTGGACACCTTGTGGTCACCTTGAGGGCCTGAGCAGGGTTCCAGTCACATCCTGTCCCAGGCCTAGGCCTGTAGCACTGGCTGGGCTGTCCTGGGCTGTCCTGGCAAGACCCGGGAAAGGGCCCGTCTGGAGCCCCAGCACTTGGTGCCGCCAGCCCTGTGTGTCAGGCTTGCCAGGAGAACAGGGCATTGCCTCTGCCTCTCTCAGCACTGAGAAAGAGGCCCTGACTGGCACAACCACCAGGGAGACAGACAGCAGACTTTGTAGGCAAGATGCACACCCAGGAAACCCCAAGCCTCTCAAGCCGTGCTCAGTTCCTATGAGCCACACCCACCTGGAGCCTGGGTTCACTACACATGGCTGACACTGACTAAGACGGTCACCCAGAGACCATACTCTTGGGCACACCTAGAGCCAGAGCTGCACTCCAACTAAATCATAAACTGTTTTACAGTAAAACTTACTCCAGGGACTGGCATGGTGGCATAGCAGGCTAATGACCTTCCTGCAAGCACCAGCATCCCATGTAGGAACAGGTTCTTATCCCAGATGCTCCACGTTTGAGCCAGCTTTCTGCCAATGGCCTGGGAAAGCAGCAGAGGACAATGCAAGTCCTTGGGCTCCTACCCACGTGGGAGACCCGGAAGAAGCACCTGGCTCCAGATTGGCTTGGTTCCAGCACTTTGCAGAGTGAACCAGTGGGATAGAAGATCTCTCTCTTTGTCCTTTTCTCTCTGTAAAAACTTACCTTTCAAATAAAGATAAATCATTTGAATTAAAAAAAAAGAAAAACTTCATAAGGAAAAGACAAACACACTGGCTGGGGAGCCAGGAACAGGGGGACAGGGTAGTTATGAAGGAAGGAAGCATGATGCCTCCAGAGAACACAGCAACCTTCCAGCATTAGATACTGAACTGAAGGAGATCTGTGAAGTGACAGATACAGATCAAAGTAATGATCATGTGGAAACTCAACGAGATGAAAAGCAACATAGATAGACAAAGAACTGAGGAAATCCATGCATGACATCAGGAAAATATTACTAAGGAGGTAGAGCTCCTTAAGAAGAACCAAGTGAAATTTGAGATGAAATTATCAGTGAACTTAAAAATATGACTGAGAATTTGACAGCAGAATAGACCAAGGGGAGGAAAGAATTTCTGACCCTGAGGACAAGACTTTTGGAATCGTTGATCAGGCAAAATAGAAAAGAATTAAAAAGAATGAAGTAAATCTGTGTGAACTATGGGATTCCATTAAGCAACCAAATACTCATATTAAAGGTTTCCTGAAGGAAGAGAAGAAGAAAGAGGCGTTGAGAACCTGCTGAATGAAGTAACAGCTGGAAATCTCCCAGGTCTTGAAAGAGACTTGGACCTCCAGATACAAGAGGCTCAAAGAACCCCAAGTAGATGCAACCAAAAAAGGTCTTCTCCAAGGCGTATTGTCATTAAATTGTCAACTGTTAACGAAAAAAAAAAATGTTAAAAACAGGAACAGAAAAGCACCAAGCTAAATATAAAGGACCAATTATATTCACATCAGACCTCTCACTGGGAACCCCACACCCAGCAGTGGAATGATGTATTCAAGGTCTCAAAAACTTCAGCCAGAATATTATATTTAGCAAAGCTATTCTTTAAAAGAAGAATTAATGTATTTCCCAGATAAGCAAAAACAGAGAGTTTACCACCACCAGGTCAGCCTAAGAAGAAACTGAGTATCCAGCATTAGAACTAAGCATGAAATGTGTCCATGAAATCAACAGGGCAGGTGGAATCACCTCCAGTCAACAACATGATGGGTCTTAGTTCTCGTGTTGAATGGTTAAATTCAGCCAAAAGACTTCTTATCTGAATAGATAAAAAGCCACAGCTTTACTGTATGCCACCTACAAGATTCACGAAGATACACAAGGACTGAACTGAGAGTGAAAGGCTGGGAAGAGACAGGCAGTGGGAAGATGACAGCAAGCAGCCACAGCTACCTTGATCTCAGATAAAGCAGATTATAAATCACAAACTGCAAAAAGAGATAAAGAAGGGCATTATATTTTGATAAACAGTTCATTTCAGCAAGACATGTGAATGATGAATACATGCATATCCAATACGATGTAGCCCAGATAAGCACAGCAAATATTGTTAGACCTAAAGGGAGCGATAGATTGCAATACAGTGATGGTGATTGCAACAGCCCACTCTGATCCAGAGAGAAAATCAATGAAGATGAATCAGTGGTAGAAACATACTCTCCTCGGGCCCCACTTCCGGTATTGCTGCTTAAGCCACCACCTATGGTGCCAGCATCCCATGTCCCCGCCACTCCACTTCTCATCCCGCTTCCTGCTAATGCTGATGGAAAAGCAGTGGAAGATTGTCCACATCCTTGGGCCCCTGCATCCACATGCAAGCCAGGTGGCCGAGCCCTGCCTATTGGGGCCAGGCTGTCTGGGGAGGGAGTCAGCAGAAGACGGTCTGTCCTTCCCTCCTCTTCTCCCTCCCTCCCTCTCTATGCACCCCCTTCCTTCTCCCTCTCCTCTCTTGCTCTCTCTCCCTCTTTGACTTTCAAGCAAGTAAAAAACGTTATCAAGCAAATGGAACAAGCATACGATGAGAATACATACTCTTGTCAGCAAATGCAAGTTTTCTAAGGCAGACTATGTTCATTGCAGCACAATCAGTAATTGCAAAAACATGGAAGCAACCAAAATTCCCATCAGCAGAAGATTGGATAAGAAAGCCTTGGTTCATCTACTCCATGGAATACTACTCAGCTATTAAAAAAAACAAAATGCAGTTCTTTGTGGCTAAATGGGCACAACTGGAAACTATAATGCTAAGGGAAATGAGCGAATCCCAAAAGATTAGATACTACATGTTTGCCTTGATTTAACCTGTAATTTTTTGTTTGGTTGTTTGTTATTTTTTGAACCTGTCATTGATACTGTCTCAACCCAGATGTTTCGAAGAAGGGAACTTGCATTATTTTTAACATATTGTTTACCCAATACTATGTCAATTAATTCCATAATGTTGTATATTGATACTGAGGCCTTGTTGGGGCTTTTAACTGACCGGATCTTTACTCTGTTAGACCTATCTTCAGACCATAGAAGGTCTCCCCAAGAGGCCACTGAACTTATCTGGACAATAAGACGCTGAACTTTATGCTAGGCATGTGTTTGCAAGCAATGAATCTCAACTGAACTTGAACTATGGTTATGCAACAAGGTGGAGGAATCCACCATGGGGGGAGGGGTATGGGAGGGGTGGGGGGAATCCCCAGCGCCTATAAAACTGTACTACATAATACAATGTAAGCAACAATAAAAAAAAAAAAAGAAGTAAAGTAAAGCTAGAAGCCAGCAACAAGAGCAGTAGGACACGCGTACGTTCTTGGAAATCAAATACCATGATAGTGGATGACCAGGGAGTCACTGAGGAAATTAAAGTTAATCAAACTGTCTTGAAATAAATGAAAATGAAAACACAGGATATCAAAACCTATGGGTGAAAGTGAAAGCAGCCATAAGAGGGAGTTTATGTATGAACTTCTTACATTTCAGAAAGGTGTGTCTGTGGCTGGGCTGGGCACGCCATCCCCACGGGGTCTGAGGGAAGGTCATTCCAGATCCATGGTGCATCCTCCCACAGGGGACCAAAGAAGCACACACCCAGAGTAGGGAGACCCAGTGACTCAGTTGTACCCAACCCAGTCCTGACCAGGCAGCCGGGGGTCAGGGGAGCCTGGTTACCCAGCTGCACCCTTCCCAGCCCAGCCCAGTCCTGGCAGGGACAGGAGAGCCTAGTGGTCAGGCTGTACCCCACCCAGCACGGCATAGTCAGCCCTGGCAGGGGCAGGGGAGCCTGGTTACCCAGCTGCACCCTGCCTGGTGCAGACCAGATGGCCCCAAATATTCATGTACTCAGACTGACCTCCCAGTGACCTCCCACAAGTGAAGGCTCAGCATGTGTGCCACCAAACATAAAGGACACCTGTGTGTGTCCCTGTGGGACTGGGGCGCTGTGACGTGCATCAGCTGCTGGTCGGGCCTGCCTACCCGCTGTCGTTCTGTCGCAGCACAGGAGGCGGCCCAGTACTGCTGGTGTGAGCTTCAGGGGAAGGTGCTGGCCTCACAGGACCCGTGTGGAGAGGGCATGTCCCTGTTGCTGGGGGACTGGAAGCACACACTGCTGTGAGATTGGAGGAAGTGGGTGACAACGGGCTACTGAACATGCACTCCTCTTGGCTCAACAGGCTCTTTGTTATTGCAGAAAGTCAGGGTGTCGACAGGCAGTTGTCTCCACAGCTGCTCTCGTGGCTGACAGACACAGACGGTGGAAGAGCTGCCCCGCATGCTTAACGGGGAAGGATGGCTCAAGCTCCCTACTCTGGGTATCCAGGCTTTGCTAGAGTCCTATAAACAGTTTGCATTTTATATACGGAAGGAATGTTAGGAGCAGGTGTTGAGAGTGAAGTAGATGCGTGCTTCAAGGGAATACAAAGGGTGATGATGTGACGCCGGCTGTGTGTGCTGCCCGTGGGTGCCAGGATGACCAGTGTGCCCTCGCCTTGCAGGCTCTATGGCTCCCCACTCAACATCGACCTGTTCCCGGCCCTCATGGTGGAGGACTTGATCCCTGGAAGCCGCCTGGGCCCCACCCTCATGTGCCTGCTCAGCTCCCAATTTAAGCGCCTCCGAGACGGGGACAGGTAAAGCCAGAGCCCTACGTGGGGGCAGGGGTCAGCCTGGCTCGGACCTTAGGCCTTTGAGGGCCTTGCGCTTGTGGCCAGGTTGGGTTTCATTTTCAGGGTGGTGAGAGAAAGGTCTGCTCACTGCTTCCCAGCTCAGACAGGCTGCCCGTGGGGCAGGGTTTCTCTTGTGACCTGTCGGCACTCGCCTGTGTTCATTCCAAAGGCAGAGAACAGAGACACGTGAGGAAAGGCGGGGACAAGGCCTTCCACCTGCCATTCCACGCTGCACCAGCCTGCAGCCAGCCTGGGCTGGGCCCTGCTGAGGCCACAAGCCAGCAAGCAACGCAGGGTGGCAGGGACCCCAGCACTCAGCCTCCACGCGCTGCCCTGCAGGGGGCCTTGACGGGATGTGGGCCAGGTGCTCTGCTCTAGGAGGGCACAGGACATGGTGCCCCAGATAGTGGCTTGGCCCCAGCAACAGATGCCCCTCCCTGGGACGGTGATGCCGCCATGTGTGGCCCATGGCCTCTATTAGCCAGGAGAATGAATACTGCCTTGCATTTCATGTCCTGTTTTAAGGGAAGGCCCCCTGAGCCATATGTGGGTGCTGACAAAGCTGGCTGAGCTCTCCATGACCTGTGGGTCCCTGCCCGCCTCTAATCCTGTCCCATTCTGTTGGCTGCAGGCTGTGGTATGAAAACCCGGGGGTGCTATCCCCTGCCCAGCTGACGCAGATCAGGCAGACGTCGCTGGCCCGGATCCTGTGCGACAACGCAGACAACATCACCCGTGTGCAGAGGGACGTGTTCCGGGTGGCAGAATTCCCACATGGCTACAGCAGCTGCGAGGACATCCCCAAGGTGGACCTCCGGGTATGGCAGGATTGCTGCGAAGGTAGGTGAGGCCCCGCCATGCCCTCTGCTGGGTCTGAAAAGGCAGCCACACACTGCCCCATGCTGGCTCTGCAGCCGCGCATGCCTGTCAAGGGAAGAGGCCGTGGGGGCGGGGGAGCATGCCCCTCTTGTGTGGGAGGCCCAGCTGTGCCTCATGACAGCCTTGGCGTCTCCTGTCTCTCCACAGCGCCCTAGCAGGGCCACCAGGTTGTCAGATCCATCCTGAGGACCTGGTGTATGTCTGAGGCGAGCTGTTCCCCTGCACCCATGGGTGAGGGGCAAGTGTAGGCATGGTCTGTGTCCTCTGTCCATCCATCTTGGCTCATGGAGGGGCAATGGTGCCTGCCCATTGGCCTCAGCCCCCACTGCCACCCCCGCAAGGTTCAGGTGCTGGAGCCGTGTTTGCGTTTCTGAGTCCCACCCAGGATTGGTTCAGTTCGGTCTCCATTTTCTGATGGGTGGATGTCGGTTTCTGCTGACCGGAGCCCCCGTGGCCTCGCACTGGGCAGGGTAAGGCTGACAGCCTGACCGTGACCGGGCCTTCCTGTGTGTGCAGGAATACCGTCTCGCGCGCATGCCACACGTGCTGTGGATACATGCGCTGATGAAAGCTGCACGTGCTGCATGCCCCGTTTTTCAGATCCTGTCACGTGATTGTGATTTTCCCACTGCATTGTGGGAAATCCATATCCATTTAGTTGGCTCTTGCTTTCTTCTCACTGGTTCACTTCCACAAACTGATTTTCCTCAAACATGGCAGAGGGTTTTTTTCTGTGAGCCTTCCCCCCTCCTCGCCAAGCTGTAGCCACCAGCTTCTTAGACCCTCCTTAGGTGTCTAGGCTAGCACTGAAGGCATTCCTTCTGGGTCCTTCCCCCTGGAAGCAGCAGGGATGCCCTGAACTGACCAGGCACCAGTGATGTTCTGAGCACTTTACCAAAGGCCTCCGGGTGGTGCCGTCCCTCGGTCGGTGCAGCATTTCACACGCCGGACACACTGCGCTCAGCCTGCCATCTCTGGTGTGTGTATCTGAGTGTGACGCCTGCGCATGTGTGTGAGCCACTCAGGCAGCTGCTTCTCAGGCCCAGTGTTTGATGTGTGACTTCCTGCTGCAGATCCGTGAGTCCGGCACACACCTACCTGCCCGCAGCTTTGCAATCCCTGACTGCAGACAGGCCCGCGGGGGGGGGCCCACTTGGAGTGGCTTGGATCCAGACCTCTTCTGCTTCTTGCAGATGAGCCTCCTGGAGCAGGCTAAGGCTCAAGCATGTGGGACCCTGGCTGGAGCCTAGGGCTCCTGCCTTCAGCCCAACTCAGCCCCAGCGGTTGCAGGCATCTGGATGAGCCAGTAGACTACAGAAGCGCTGAGGGCCTTCAGGTCCAGGCATCTCCGTGTCCACACCACCCAGTGCTGGCTGGAGGCTGCGCTGCCCAGGAAGGCCAGATGTCAGGAGCATCAGGGTAGACATGGCCAGCCCTGACCCCGTGCATGAGATGAGCTGGCCAGAACATTGCCAGCAAGGCAGGCCCATCCTAGGGGGCTCTTGGGCTCATGGCACAGGATGGCCCTGGGTTGACCCCACCTGTCTCCCTGCCCAAGGCCTGGGTGGAGATGGTTGTCACTGGACTTGGCAGGTGCAGGGAAGCGTCCAGGCCACCAAGGGTCTTGGTGTGTGATACCATGTGGGAGTTGGTGAGAACAGAGCCTCTGAGGGTGCTCATGCTGCACAGGAAGTTGGGAGTGACAGAGAACAGAGGCCAGTGTGGCCACTGCCATGTTCCTCCTATGCCTTACTGCTCCTGGGGTTCCTGCCTGGAGGCCTGATGCCTGCAGATCTGTGCCAGGTCTTTCCTGGGTGAAGAGGAGGGCTGACACTAGGACAGCATGGGGCAGATGATGGAGATGTGGCCCTAAAGGGCCTGCTACCAGGTGGACACATGCTGAGGCACTGCTGCAGGGTGGGCACTGAGGGCAGGCATGGGCTCCAGTGCCATGTCGGTCACTGTCTGATGTGAGGAGACCTAATCAGGATTACAGCAGCTCAGCCTTCATACTTTGCTTACAGACTGCAGGACCAGAGGGCAGTTCAACGCCTTCTCCTACCACTTCCGCGGCCGCCGGGCTCTGGAGTACAGCTACCAGGAGGATGAGCCATTGTTGAGCGCCAGGCCACATGGGTCCCTCAGGTAAGGGGGCAGATGGTGGCCCCCTGCCTGAGATATGGCCACAGTGTGCAGGCGGGGACTGTGCCAGAGCTCCTGGACGAGGGTGGCTGCCGCTGGCACCATGCTAGGTCAGCTGTGCGCTCAGCAGTGGCCACTCTGGACACGTATAGCATCTGTTCCAGGGGCGGGGACACTCGAGCACAATGGATTGGCCCAGCTGCCACCTGCCCAGATGGCCCCTCACTCTGTGCTTTATTTGTAGCCACAGTGTCGGGAAACATGGCCAGCACCTGGGCAATGCCACGTCTTCCTCCCACGAGCACTCCCAGGCACTAGGGACAAATGACTTCAGAGACTTCGTCCTGGAGATGCAGAAGACCATCACAGGCCTCAGGAGACAGGTGAGGACCGTCCATGTCTGTACGCGCCTGCTGGCCCAGGCACCGTGACACCACGGCCTGCGGGATGGTCGAGTGGGGCTGCCTGGCGATGAGGGCTGGCCTGGAAAGCGGGGCCTCCCAGTGTGCCTGCACTGCCTTGTGTGCACTGCACTCCCTGTGTGTCTGTGAGGAGTGAGGACACACCCACCCCTGTAGAGGTGACTTCACCGTGATGACCGTGGTCATGTCCATGTCTCATGAGGCCTCAGGAGTCCCGAGGCCCTGTCTCTTCGGGGTTTCAACTAGAAGGTTCTAAGACTCAGAGGACAGAAATGACCAGGACCCCTCAGAACCCAGCTTAAATGGCTGCTGTCCCCAAGTGGGGCTATCCTAGTGTGTGGTGCAATGTGGCCCTCCCTTACGCCGCTCGGGGAGCATGTCCATGGCTGAGCCGGGGATGTCACTTGAGGCTCTTTTGTGGCTTAGCAGGGTTAATGAGAAGAGCGGGGAGGCTGTGGGTGGCAGCAATCCAAGGCCATGGCTTCCCGCAGCCAGGAAGTCACCTGTTCCTGGACAGTGCGGAGTAACTGCGCATGGGCAGCCGCTGGCTCCAGTTGCTGCTCCATTCGGTGGTTACCTCCTGCCCCAGGCAGCATCCTGGACTGGGGCAGAGCTGGTCCTGGCAGGTCTGTGTGCCCCTCCCCATGCCAGCCTGCCCCTGTGCCATGGACCTCAGGGCCCATCAGCCTCCCTGGCCTTGTCTGTTTGGGCTGGACAGAGGGAGAGCCTGCCTCCCCTATCCCTTTGTGCAGGGGAGGCTGGGCATGGGGTGTTGTTTAGGGGCTCTGCCTCCAGAGAGTCCTTGGTTGGCTAAGGACAGCTTGGCACTGGCGGGAGTCATTGGCACTTTGGATTGCAGATGTGCAATGTATTGGCATCTGACCTCCTGCCACCCCACCCCTGGGAGAACAGCAGCTCTTCTTCCTGGGTTTTGGGGAGTGGTGGTTGGCACTGCTGACTGGTGTGCCCACTGCTCAGCAGGCCAACCGTCCTGTGAGGAAGCTGTTCCTCCACTCTGAACCCTGTGCGGCAGCAGCTGCTCTCTCTCCAGAGCACTGAGGTCTGTCATGTGCTTTGCCACAGATAAAGAACCTTGAGTCCCGGCTCAGCACCACGGAGTGCGTGGACGCCCACGGTGATTCTCACGCCAATGGCACCAAGTGGAAGGCAGACTTGTGCACGGCGTGTGAGTGCAGAGTGAGTACTGGGCTGGCCCCCTTGAGCCCCTGGCTCTCCCCACCATCCACCCGTGCCAGCTGCCTGCAGAGGGTGCTAGCCTGGTGTGTGCACCCTGGGATGGGGCTTAGGCAGCATCCTGGACTGGGGCAGAGCTGGACCTGGCAGGGTCTATGTGCCCCTCCCCATGCCAGCCTGCCCCTGTGCCATGGACCTCAGGGCCCGTCAGCCTCCCTGGCCTTGTCTGTTTGGGCTGGACAGAGGGAGAGCCTGCCTCTCCATCCCTGCTCTGTTCCTTCCCAGTGGGAACTGGTACAGGGTGCGAGAGGATGGAGGCCTTGACCCACCGCCACCAAGTGGGAAGACAGTGGGAAGGGCTGGAGGGACAGGAGTCTTAGTGCAGGTTTGTCTGCCACCATCACACAGCACACTCGCTGCCTTGTTCTGGTCCTGCACCCAGGCCTAGTGTTTGCAGCCAGGCAGGGATCCAGGTGAGAAGGGCACCATGGTGGGCCCTACAGCTATCCCAGGCAGTAATGGTATCACCGTCTGTCACACAGGATGGGCAGGTGACCTGCTTCGTGGAAGCTTGCCCACCAGCCTCCTGTGCAACTCCTGTGAAAACCGAAGATGCCTGCTGCCCGCTCTGCCTAGAGAAGACAGCCGAGGACAGGCCCTAGGCTCCTGCCGGGCTCCGCGGGGTCTGTCTGCGGCAGCCATGAGCTCAGGCGACCGGCCAGGGTGCCACAGCCCATGGGGATGTCCAGGACTCGCTGTCCCAGGACCACGTCCGACTGGTGCCACTGCAGGAGGCGCAGAGGCAGGCAGGTGTCCCCGTTGTGTGGCTGGTTTCTCAGGTTCTTATTTAATTCTTTAAAAGGAAGAATTGGTGCTACTATTAAATTGCACAGTTCAATCATCCGGGCCCTTAAGTTGGCCTTTTCCTGTATACACCGTTTCTTTTTAAACAAAACAGGGGCTCCGCAGTCAGCTGTGCCTGACTCTGGCCAAGTACTGACCAATGGGTAGGGCCTACAGGCCCACAGAAGCCCAGGCCACGCCACTCGCCATGTCTAAAAACAAAACCAGTGTTTGGCAGATGGGCCTGAATGTGTCAGCTCATGTCCCGGGCCATGGTCTCCACGGCGTGACTCAGGCCCCCCAGCCCCAGCCAACACTCTCCCTCGGTCCCCTGGCTGTCAGCTTGCGATCACCCGACACTCCCCTGCCCCTACTCAGACCTGTCCCACCCTGGGCTGCATCAGCTCCTTGCATGCCTGCCTGCCATGGTGTGAACCACACTTGCACATACATGTCCTGCCTGGCTATGAACCAACTGTGAAGCCATGACCCCAGTTCCATCCACCACCCTGAGTGGCGCTGTCCCCGTGGCTTGAGGCTCTGTTCCTGGCAGCTCCCAATCCTCTGATGGGTGGGAGAAAGCTGAATGTGGGGGACTTGGGGAGAGTGTTCCTTGACGGGGCCCCATACCTCAGCTGTACTTCTTAAATGCACGAGGCGCCCACTGTTCAGGCTCAGATAGGACAGGAAACTCACTTCTATGCAAAAGTAGTTTTAGAATCCAGTGTTCCCACCTCAGTTCCCTGCAACTTCACCCAGACTTTGCCTTGATCCTCTAAAAACAGCAGTTATGTGCCCCTGGACATGTGTGTTACACGCAGGCTGAGTGCGGGGCTCAACGGGGCCATACTTGGCACCCCAGGGTCCCTCACCTGCTCTGTACACGGTCTATGTCCTCCTCACAGAGCACCATGAGGCTGACACGGGTACAGGGCAAAGGCCACTTGCCAGCTAGCCCCTCTGCACCTGGGACTCCTTTCCAAGTCAGTCCATGTGCAGCCATTCAATTTAGGGACCAGTTTCTGCAAACTGAGAAATGGGTCTGCTTGTCTGAGGCTTGACGTCCGTGTACACTGCTCTGGTGTCTAGACGAGCCAGTTCTGCCTCATGGAAGCTGTGTGCCCGGGGGGCATGCACGTGGCCTGAGCACCTGCCAGGAACTGACTGACCCACAGTCAAGTCCCATCCGTCAAAACCAAGTGCCCAAAGTTGCCAGTTGGATACCCGCCTGACAGTCCAGTGGCAGGCACAGCCAGGACAGCCTTGCAACCACTCAGCGAGGCCGCTGGAACATGAGGTGTACATATTTATTCACTTTCCTAACCTGCTAATGCTTTTGTTATGTTCGTTGTATGCAGTATGTTACCAAAGAAATGTCTGTGCTATAATAACACTGCCTGGTCAAATAAATGACGCGTTTTCAGATGGAGGTGTCTTCCTTTCCCCACCTTCCACAAGGCACGGGCCAAGCATGCCCAGGTGAGCGTGGGCGCTAAGCCAGGAGCAGGTGCGAGGGAGAGACCCTGAGGGTCCCCAGCCCTGGTGAGGCAGTGCGCAGAGCAGGGCAGAAGGGACTGGTGAGCTGGGCTCCCGGGACAGCTGTGGCATCTGAAGCTAACCCTCAGCCGAGAGGGCAGGCTGTCCGCCTACACTGATGTCTTCCTTGGAGAGGCGTCCCCTGAAGAACCAAAAGGGGTGTCCCCACCACGAATGTGTGCTCAGCTTGGTTCTGTGGCTAGAAGTGTGAACACGTGTGGCAGCCCCTGCTGCAGGAGGGGGTGGGGGCTGGAGGGGCTTCTGAGGCAGGCTGAGAAGAAAATACACCATCGGGGCAGAGTGAAACGGAACTGCCTGGTCAGCTCAGGGTTCGGGTGGGAGACGGAGCCACTTCCCCTGCCTAAGCTGGTGGGAGAGCAACTGGGCAGCCGCTCTGCTCCTGCCCTTCTCAGAGTGACACCATCACATTGACATCTGTGCAGGAAAACAGCTCCGTCCTGCTTGATGCCCACGGGGGTGAGAGCTGCTGCTGGCCGAGCTGTGTGTGTGAACTCTCCGGGTACTGGGACAAAGCTCCCATGAGGTCTCCATGGGCAGACCCAGTGCCCTCCAGGTTCATGGTTACCCTCGCAACAGCCTGGACATGGTAGCAGCTGGCACAACCGAAGTTGCCAAGTTCAAGGTACTCCAGTAGTGACTGCCTCTGTGTCTAACAGCTAACAGCCGCTCATCTCTGCTCCCTTGGCGCCTGTGCGTCCCTTGTCCGAGGGGCCGCATCCAGGAGGCAGCCACCCTCTTCCCAGCACATCTGCAGTCTCCCTCAAGAACTTTGCCAGGAAGCCGTGCCACTCAGGCGGGTGGGGTTGCTGCGGGGAGGGGCACTCCTCTCTGGGGGCAGGGCAGGCCAGGATGGGGCGGAGTCTGACATCAGGCATCTTGAGTACCACAGTCATTTCCATTGTGTGTTACCAAAACCAGATGCCTCCTGATGGTGAGTCAATGTTCACGGCCCCAGCGACATTGCTGCATGAGGTTACCGCTGCGGCTGCTGCCTGCCCCGCACCTTGCAGGCTGCTCCTGGGGAACTTGCTCAGAGTGGCCAGCAGGTCACTTCTCACGTCTGGGACTCATGGTGCAGGGAGGCACGGACAAGAAGAAGGAGTGCGGTGCCCCCGAGCACGAGGCCTGGCTGCCCAGAAAGGCCCCAGCATGGCAGGCTGCTCAGGCTGTGCTGTCCCCCACTTCCCCAACGCAGCTCTGGCTGTCTTCCCCAAGTCTGCATGTCAGTGTCTCATGTCCACAGGTAAAGGCTGGGCCCTGTGCCCATGGCAAGCACCACCTCACGTCCCCACTCACCCTGCTCGAGGTAGTGGGGTGTTGAATGTTGTGTTTTCTGATGAGCAGGTATGTTCTCCAGACTGACTGGGTATGGGTCAGTTACTGAGCGGGTGTGGGCTAGATACTAATTGGATGTGAGAAAAATTCTGTGTATGAGTTTTTTACGAGGTCGGTGTGGTCTGGACCTGACTGGTTACGAAGAAATGCTCACTGGGTCTGGACGGGAAATTGTCCATCTGCCAGATACATAAGGACAAGGACACGGTGCTGTGAATCCTGTTGCATCACGCACCTGCCGGCTGTGCCTGGGATGCGGGGACCACTGCTTCCTGCCTCGGCTGTTTTGCACTGAGCATCCTGGGCCTCTGCCTGACAACCACAAAGGTGCTTGAGGCCGACACAAGGAGGCCACCTGTGTGGGCGTGAGCAGAGACGCAGGCACCACAAGACCTGGGCCTGACACTGACGTGTGTGCGTTTTCTGAAAAGGATAGCGGGAGGACTCGCACCCAGATCTCAGGCATCATGACGTCAGCACAGTCAGGACCAGGGAAAGTCTGGAGGGGCCACTATGCAGCCCGTTAACTGTTGACACCCGGCGACACGAGCGTGTCGGGGCAAGTGAAGCAAGGCAAAAACTCCACCTTCTTTAGGCATCTTATCACACAGAGATTTGAGCTGGACCTGCTTGTGCTTGGAAACCAAAGCAGCAGAGTGAGCTCTGGATGGCGCTGGGATGTGAGGAGGTGGACGGACTGGGAGGCAGTGAGGGTCCAGGTGAGAAGGAGAGCCGGGAAAGACTCGGCTCAGGACCCACAAGGCACACGTCTCCTGAGAAGCAGCCTTTGTGGAGGTACTGACCCCGCTCCCCTGAGGTTCCTGTTGCGTCACAAAGCTAGCAGAGATGTGGTTACCACTCATAGCACCTACTGGCTTGGTTATCACAAGAACCTGGTCGGATTACAGCGTCAGCCTCCAAGGGCATCGTCCTCGCTCGCTCGCTGACCATGGCTGCTGTGTCTGCCCCATCTATGCTTACAGTCACCACCTTCATCATCACCACTCACACCCGTGTCTGATTTCTCCTCTCGGAGACCCCCCAGAATGCTGTGGCAGGTGGTCTGGCTTTGCTCACCGCAGCCACACCAGAGGCAGCACAGTGAAGCACACTAATCAAGTGTCTGTGCTGCAGAAACGAGGCCATATTGCCAGGCGTCCGCACATGCATGTCCCTGAGCAGGTGAGAGGCCTCTGCACCTGGCACCCCTCGGGAATAAAGGGGTGGACAGGTGGGACAGCACCGGCCAGGGGTGCTGTGCTGGGGGCAGGTGGACTCCCCCTCACACCTACCTGGGGGCAGCAGACAGCATTTCCGGCTGGGACCTGCAGGGGCTTGGGGCAGTTCTGCACCCTGCCTCTCCCAGCGAGACACAGTGGGACTGGTGACACCCCCCCCCCCAACTGGGAGCTGAAGCCTGGGGTACAGCAGCCCTGAGTTGGGCTGCTCCCCACTCTGCTTCTCTGTTCCTGCCTGCAGGACCCACACTCCCCTTCAAGCTCCTCAGGGTTGGGACAGCTCCAGGTCAAGGACCCCGCTCAGCCTGGGACCCACACACCGAGCCTGCCCAGACTCTTAATTCAGAAATAGCCAGTGAGTCCCACAATCCCGGAGGAAGAGCCTGCGGGTTACCTGTGGGGTTTTTCACATTCGGGTCAATTCCCCTAACCCGGTGGTGATAGCATCCCTCGTGCCAGGCAGCCCCCCACTCCCGTCCCTTGTTCTTTCCTGGCTGCAGCCCCTCTACAGCTGAGGGGGCCCCGAGGTCACATGGTGCCTGGTGCCAGGGCTCCTCTGGCTCTCCCACCGCTGAGGCCAGGGTCTGGCTTGGCTCTGTTTATGATTCCTTCAGGAGTGATTAAGATCATGATTAAGAATTCTGCCCTCAAGTTTTCCTCATGTTAGCAAGCTGAGGACTAAGGATTTG